TAAACCTAGTCGCTTCAGGAAAAATCTTAAAAAGGTTTACGTCCAAGAAAGTCTTGAACCAAGGATCACTAGGGAGCCTGGTGTGTTGTAAAAACTGCTCCGGTTCTCTTCGATGCATGTTTTTACGGACATTAATAGCGCCAATTCCAGAAAAGGATTTTTACACATGGCTAACACTAATGAGCTTTTAAGAATGCCCGTTAATTCAGTAAATTTAGGTTTCTTTGGTAGGACATCATAGTTTGAACATGTGGCAAAGGGATATCGGCGTGCCTAACCTTACTCACGGCATGACGTGGCTATCATATTGATTTTTCCCTTCAAATCAGACAATCCTGCGCTGACAGCCCGTGAGAAAGCCGTTGAACTGGGTAACGTTTCAATAGCGGTTGCTTTGTTCACTGTATTCAATAGTCAAATCTGATAAAATTATTTCCTTCCCAATAAAAAATATTTGGTAACCTTTACATCATAAATAATTCTTCGAATGACAAAATATTTAAAACTACTAATATGAAAAAATTCATTTAAAAACTATCCAATATTACTTTTGGCTATCTTCTTCGTCTACAGAATACAGGTTCTTTTCTCTTTGATTTCGTGTACAATGAATGAGAATTTGTTTTTAAAAAAATTAGTATAATGAAAGTAATAGACTTTACATAAAAATAATAATTAATTGAAATAAGTAATTTGATCAATTAGACCATTAAACATAAATGGATTAATAGTAAAATATTTGACTATTACAATATTACGGTACAATATTCAAATAGTACGTACATATAGTACATCGAGTTTTGTTTTAATTTCCCGAGCTCATCATTTTACGAAATACCACGAGATAGAAGGACTTACCACAGCCAGATTTTACTTATCAACAGTGTTAACTGTTGGCACATGAAAAAGTAATTGTGCAGAATACCAAATCAGGGTTGTATGCCGGATGGTGAAGAAGTTCGAATTCAGTTCGTTTATTTTTAAATTGGTCTGACGTCGAATTGTGCCTTGCTGTCGTACTGCTTACGAAAACTTGGTATTTTTTGATTAAATGATCTGATTAGTAAAAGATTTCCGAATAAAGCTTGACCCGAGAAGCAACTCAATCCTCCCACCTGACCGTTTTGGCAATCCCTCTTGCCTATTGATTGGAATACCTTTTGAGTTCCAGGGCGGTTAAAATGCTGTACATCTACTTTCCATCTATCTAGGAAATAAATTTATATTATAAAATTTCAATTAGTTGGATATTCCAATGTGTCGTGAGACCTCTTGATGTGATAATTCGTGAGGGTTTCTTCTGCTACAACAAAACAATCCGATGATAGGAGCATGGGAAACGTCAAATTCACCTACCAGTTTCCTAGTATTGCTTCAAGTTACAATAACCATGGATGCTCTAAAAACACCACTGTCAATAATGTGTAGAGATTAGTGACCGTTAATCGATAGTTATTCAGATATCGTGAGATGCGGTCGGGTGTGATGTAGGTTTCAGAAAAACATTTTCTTTATCGTGCCAACGTTTCGATCTTGTATTGAGATCATCTTCAGGGCTCAAAGTGTTTGTCTTCTGTGTAATTGTGCCATCCTTTCGTGTCTTGTTGAGAGTGCCCTACTGTCAATAATCTTGAATTTTCGAGGTTTATATATTGCTGTTTGCCAAAGAAGTAGATTTTTGGTCTTATGTGCACTGTCAAGTTGACATAGAGTTCCAAATCTATCGCTCGAGTACTAGGAATCAACTCATATTGAATCAATCCTTGAACTAGATGCAATATATTTTTGGATGCTCCACTTTACCGCCCCGTCGTCTTGGAGCTCCCATGTCGAAGCAGATATGTTTGTGGCCTTCTCCAAACCCCTCTGTCAACAGCCTAGGCAAGCTCTAATTTACTTGATTTTTAATGTTGATGTCCTACCAAATTGTTGGTGGTCAAAGGTTGACTGAAGTTCCGAATAGCTCGCTGAGTATCAGGAACCAATTGAAATTAAATCAATCCTTCGCCAGACACAACATGACCTTTTCGTTGACCCTTTTCACTTTTCAGGAACAATCCGATGCTCATCAGTGTTAGATTTGCTAGCTAGCTAGCTGAGGCGATAACGATTACTTTACGAACGTAAAAGATGATTCCGCAGATTTTAATAAACGTCTAAATGACTTCACAATGCCTGTTTACCGTAGTGTGAACTTATGAACTACAGTGGTAGATTCCGGAGACTTGATTTTAAATTGCTAAACAGTTTGCCTGACCTATCTTTACATTCATTGTTAGACCGGCACCACACTAGACGGAATGCGACGGGAGTTTACGTGACGGAAATTTCGCGACGAAAAATCCGCCCAACCCGAGAACAAGCCGGAATACAGCGGAAATGAACGGAATGACTGCAACGACTGTTTGGATATGCAGTTGATAACGTGACTCAGTTGATCGTGGACAATACAATGAAACCACTTTTCGTATTGTGTATTTACAAGGCAATGGAGAAGCAGCAGAGAAAGAGAGAACATTGTATTCAACCATTGAATATGAAAAGGGTCAATTCCAATTCTATGGGATGACTGTAACTTCATTTGACGAGCGTCTTTAAAATTACACAGACAGAGCCTGTTCTGAACTTCCACAATAAATTGGTCCAAGTACAACCTAGTTCAGCTTCACTTGCAGTTTGTCTGTCCGACTTTCTACCTCTTCCATTCTACACTTGCCCGTCGTCAGTGTGGCGCACCCCACTTTGCACTGCTTTGATCTGTTTAGACGAACATTCCGTGATTCCGTCGACGGACGTTGGTACACCAACGGAGCTCGACGGAGACGTTACGACGGAGATTTCAGTTAAGGAATTTCCGTTCAGTCTGTCGCTGGGATGGTTGGGTGACAGGATTGACGTTTTCGTGTAGACTATGAGCAGGTCATCGTCGACAGTTTGAATGGATTGAGAGATAAACCAATCCTTGAAGAGATTCAGAAAGGCTTTCTTTTTCGGTGGTCCATTTTTTACTTAAATTTTCTTTACCAGTATATTCATTATGCCACTCGAGGGATCAGAGTCAAATGAATATTTTAACACTGAAACTTTTTTGTTCAAAAATGTCATATTCGAATGGATTAAATTTTGATCATTAAAAAAATCCTGTACAAAATCTCTATCCTCTCCTCTCCTTTCTATTCCCTCCAAACGTGTATTGTGTGACTGGACAACATTCGTTGTAGGATCCTTCAACCGGTATGGATTCTATCTAGGTTCCCCCTTCAAGGCGGGCTGCGTTGCGTGTGAAGTTATCTGTCTGTCGAGGACATCTGAATGTCGTGAGGTAGAAGTCGGATTCCGTGACTCGGCCCCATTCATCAACCTGCCCTTTCCTTACCATGGCACATTCCCCCCCACGTATCGCCCATTCAACCCTTTTCGATCCACGCCCATAATTGATCGAAAAATCTCGAATACTCGGTTCTCACGGGTACCGGCGAAAGTCTGACGGCGGCATGCAGGATGTTCATTTATGGGCTGAACTTTATTGAACTTCAGGCCGGAGAAATTTTCTCCAAGGTTGTTCGATCGGATGAAAGAGTTTGAAAACAGAGTATCAGACAATGGGTTTTTATTTTGAGATATAAAAAATAAACTACTGTTGTGTTCACATAATAAAAATGAGTTAAGTGAGGCTAGAGTCACCCTCTAGCCCCAGGTAAAGGACTGGGGATTATAATTTGCAAAGCAGTGGTTCTTACCTACTGCGTCAGTTGATCATGAAGCTTTAACTTTTAGATATTGTTTAATTAAAACTGTATTTGAACGGTACTACCTAAACGAATCTGCTATACAATGTTCTTGGTGTTAAGTTCTTGAATTACAGAATTATCAGAAAATTGCTCTCGATTACAATTAAAGCTGACAATGAGTCCATTAAAGTAGCCAAGCTCCACTTAAGGGGATGTGAAATACTCTAAACCTTTCTGAATAACTTAATAATAATATGTGTGGTGATTAGTGACCGTTAATCGATATTTATTTAGAAATCGTGAGATGCGGTCTGGTGTGATGTAGATTTCAGAAAAACATTTTCTTTATCGTGCCAACGTTTCGATCTTTATTGAGATCATCTTGAGTTGTTATATGTAAACAATGTTTGTAAATCCCAGGCCCTGAAGATGATCTCAATAAAGATCGAAACGTTGGCACAATAAAGAAAATGTTTTTCTGGAACCTACATCACACCAGACCGCATCTCACGATTTCTAAATAAATATTAATAGTAATAGTTGTACAATTGGAGACCTGAAACATGTGGATCCCGTAGCCACAGATTATTGCAGCTCCTACTCCGTGTTTTTGGATTCCGTATTTATCTGTGGTCAATGTAATTGGCTTGAGTTTAGCAAATTTGTGTTGTTTCTTTTGCTGAAGTGGTTAATGAGAGAAATAATCTGTGCTTTTTAATTATGCAAGGCTCGATGGGAGAAAATAGAACTTTTTATAAAAGTGTACACACATATTAGCAATATAAATTTGCCTCATATCTTAAAAACATGTCCATCTTGAAAAAAATGTCTACCAAGTGGGTGGGCAGTATAGCTTCCTCACATCATGCACATATATTAATCCGTTTATTATGAAATTCAAAGGGTCTAGAACCCAACCCGAACGAGGATTTTTCAAAATTTCATAAAAATTAGTCTCAAGGTTCTGGAGTTTTGCAAGTTATATGGAATTGACTACAGACAGATAGGCATAGAACCAAATAGGTTCGCAAAATGCCGCATACAAAGCTTCCCTACCTTCAGTAATTAGGCAGTAAAAGTGCAAACGTATTGCCAAAAACTCCAAAATGACTTAAATTTGTGCAAAAAGTTCTATTGAAAGTACAATTAGGTGATTATTTATTGTCAAATCCACAGTACCACTTTAAACGGTTTTTATTAACCATACCTTTGGAACTTTGCTAGATTTATCTTTTTTAATACTTCAAAATCCATTTTTTCTCTTTGCAGGCATATAGATGTAGTTTCAAGAAATTCTTCATCTTCAACTGGTGAAAAATTCAGTCATCATTCACACTACCCCCTTGATAAATATTTGGTAAAATGAAGCTTGAATTTTAACTTGAACATCATTTAGATTGATTTGTATTTTTTAGTCTAAAGATGTACTAGCAGATTTACCACAAATCAATGACTTAGCATTAGGTGAAAACAGAACCAAACAACATGAACTTTTTGGTACGCTAAGCATATTGACAAAAGAGCTTGAGAGGCTGAAAGGACCTGTTCTGAGGCGCTCAGTGTCAGACATCACGACAAATTCAATTGGGGACAGGTATAATGCCTAAAATACCAAATATTTATTTATTTTTATTTTTGCACGGTTTAAGAAAGATTTTTGTTGATTTTAGTGAAAGTTGTTATACTGAAGAACTTGTGGAAACACAGTTTCGTAAGGCAACTTATGCTTTTCGCAAGGTAACTTTTAAAATTCCATAAATGTATGTTCTTTCATTATTATTAATATTACGAATTCCTTACAGAAAAATCCTCATGATGTTCATAGGAAAAAGTCACATTTTACTATTGTCAATCAGCATAGTGACAGAACTACAAAGGTACATTTAAGCAAAGAAAATGACAATTTTAGAAGTCCATATCAACGAGAGGCCATGCTGACTGGATACAGCTCTCCCAGCCCTCCATTGCTGAGGTCTGCAGAAATGCCTAGCACTTCTTACCAAAACTTCGATATGAGAACTCAGACTTACGAAAGGCCTCAACAATACACACCGAGGTACGATGAAAAAGATTACAACAGAGATAGCCGCCAGTACAGGACATGCCGTTCTCCTGTGTCTCCAGTCCCGATGACACCGGGCTATGACAATTACTACTCGACTACGGCTCAACCAGGTACAGCGACTTCTCAAGCTCACAATTATCCAATGTGGAGTGCCAATTCGAATGGCTACCCAGTGTCACAAGAAAACTCAGTTGCCACTCCATATCGGCCTGACTCTTACAATAGGCACAGAATGCATAGACACACCCCTCATGAAGCAGGATATCATGAAAATGTGCCAAGAATCAGATCACCCGCTGTGAGGCAGGAACCGCAAAGGCAGTCTCCTAGGGCAAATTTGAGTTTTAAGACAGAGCAGATATTGATACCCCCTGTTCCTTGTGGAAAGATGACAAGTCAGATGTTTAACGAGTTAAGAACTCCTTCGAACAACATGCATTCCCAGTTGAACAGCAAACCAGTTCAAGATGTCTGTGTAAACACAGATTTTATTAATAGCTCTGTGTACAGTTTTAAGTCAAAATTTGACATCGTTGAGAAGGAAGAAGTCAAACCAAGTAATAAAACATTCGGCGTTCAGCAACTGCCAAAATTAAGCATTAGGCCTCAACTTGTTACTCAAGTCGGGCCAAATGTGAACATCTGGCCTCATAGAGTTAGTAAAAGTAAAAACAATGTCGGTGTTTTTGAACTGGTTCATCCTCCTGCTTCCCAAGAACAAAAATCTGAAGACAAAACAAACAAAATACAGAATTTCCAACCAAAAACTGTACCTAATTGCCCAAGAACGAATAAAAAAAGAGACATACTGACGGAGGAAAAACCAGAAGAATCCACGCCAAAACAGAAGGATGAGCCAAAGTTGTTGAGAGTCGCAGAACAGTTTTGTAACACTCTCAGCGTGAAGAAACAGCAAGAATTTGTTGAACTTAAAACCTCTATGCAAAATTTATTGGCCTGTGTGAACGATTTGTATGAAAATCAGCTCTATACAATGGAAGAACTTCAGAAAGCATCTTTAGGTTCCAACCACAACTCAGAAGATTTGCCCCGAAGGATGAACATGGTAGCAGATCTTCTCGAAGACGAAATTGGCAAGTTCGGCACCCAGAACAAGGACCATTACGAGCGATTGGGGAGAGTTATGAATGTTTTGGTTGATGATATTCAAACGACCCTGAACGCTGTGGATGGCCAAAGAAACATAATCAGGTCTCAACAGACTGATTCAAAAGAAATTCCAAAAACAAGTAAACCACTTACTTGAACCTAATAATATCTTTTTCAAAAACAAATCTTTATTGTCTATTTAATTTAATTGCATTTCTTCTAAGGTGCTAATACAGGGAGGACACAATTACGAAGAGGATCTTCACAAGCAGGACTTACAACTTTCAATGAAGAAGAAAAACGTAATTTCTCATTCTCCTGTTTGTTCGCCAGTAATAAATATTCACCTTTAAAAAAAATCAGATTACAACATTCAGCAGTACAGTGTGATTTGGCCATTATTATAAATAAACATGCCGGATTTAGAAAATTTGTTGAAAACTACTCCTTTCTAGCATATTGTATACAGAGCATAAACATTATTTATCAGTAATGTAAAGCATAGTTGAATTATTAAGGAAAAGTTTAACAATGCAATTCAACAAATTACTACACTGTAATTAGTTTTCCAGGGTCTATCAGAATTAATTTAGTGTAATGAAATAGTATAACACTTATGTTTTGTCTGTGTACTACGCGTGCATTTTGTGTATTATTTTGATGTATCTTTTTAAAGTACAGACTAATATATCTACAGTTATTCAGTATGGTTTTTAATAATTTAGTTACTTTATTAGGGACGCTGAGAAGTTACGAAGGTGATTTAAAAAGCAATGACTACAAGACCCAAAAGAACCTGGAGCTTCGTCTTTCCCGCATTGAAAAGTTGTTTGAAATCAACAAAAGTCTAAAGGAAATTATTGCAGAGACATCGCCTGATACTACTGAAACATATGACTCAACGCCTCAAGAGGATACAACGTCCTATGACTTAGATGCAAGCAAAAGTGAGCTAAGCATGGACAAATCTTTCTCTGAAAAGCTTGTCGAAGAAAAACTGAATGAAACATTTATGTAATTATAAATTTTACTAGTGCACAAACGCTTTCTTTTTCTTTGTATCAGTAGAATGTTTAACTTGCACGATGAATATAGTAAATGAGTTTGTCATTATTATTTAGAGTATTCAAGAAGTCAAGATATTAGGATTTTTTATTTTTTCTCATTTATTTATTTTTTTTTTTTTTTCTGAGAGTGACTTTTTTGTTTTAAATGCAATTTTCTGCTAATGTACATATTTGGTATGTAACGTGCATGATTTTATGATGCTTTAAGTGCACATCATTTTTCTTCTCTATTGATTTCAGTGTTGACGAGGAAAACAAGAAAGTTGGTACAGGAGACCCTGATGAAGAATACTTAAAAGAGCTAAAAACAGTGAGTATCTATTAAAATCTCTTCCCATATCATCATGCATTTGCACAACCACATAATTATAAGTTCATCAATAAACTTTTTACAACCTGTGGCAATGATTGTTAGTTATTACAATACACTATGAACAATTATTAGTTATTCTAATATCTGCTGGATATGAATGTATGCACGTATATACATATGCTAATATTTTATGCTTGTTAGATGTACCTGTAAATTGACTGTCTCCAATCGTCAATTATTGTGTGGAGATGAAATTCACCATTCTCACTGGTTTGGTCTGTCATTTTTTTAATTTTTTTATGAGTTCTTCAGTACTTTGTATTATTTTGGCAATTGCAAAAAATTGAGAACAGCACAGGATGTCAAGACTTGTTCGAACTATTTTTTTTAAAAACATCTTCAAGAAGAGGCCTAAAAATAAAAAATATAAATAAATAAACAGTAATTTTTTTAACAATAGTTTACATTCAAACAGTTACATATTTTTGCTTCCATATTTCCATGAAAATGTAAGTACAAGTTTTGTAAATGATGAAGAGTTGAGTTGTTAATAACAACATTATTATTTGAAGATTGTGAGATGCAGTCTGGTGTGACGTAGGTTTTAGAAAAACATTTTCTTTATCGTAATAAATATCGAACGTTGGCACGATAAAGAAAATGTTTTTCTAAAACCTATGTCACACCAGACCGCATCTCATGACCTTCAAATCATCATTAACTAACAGTCACTGCACACCATACATTTCTAAAATTATTTTGTAGAAATTGGCAAACAACTGTAACTTGTCTGTTTTTTAAGGGTGATGGAGGAATATCGAGTACTCCACCACTCCAATTGAGTGAATGATATGCAAATAGGAAAGAATGTATTTAAGTACGAATGAGAGTGCAAATGTATCTAGGAACGGCATGCATTGGGTGCTGATTTACCATTCCCAATTGACCGGTAGACTACAAGAAGTCAGTTATGTACATGTGTGTGTATATATGTACATGTGTAGATTTCAACTTATATAAAACCAAATGCAATGTTTTTTAATTAATATATTTGATACATATTATTAATAGTTATGTCTAATTTATTTTAACAATTTGCATCCTCTTAAAACAAGGATAAAATAACATAGTAAGAAAGTAAAATTTTTTTTCATACACCTTAATTTAACTAATGCAAATTTATAACATATTTTGATTACCTATTTTCAGAAAGCAGACAACATTTTAGATGTCTTTTTGAAAAAACCCAAAGGAATAAAGTTAGAAAGAGAACTGCACGATAATCAGAGACAGATATTTACGCTGCCAAGCGTTCCACAGGGTTTGTCAATTTTGTTTTTATATTTTTACACAAAGGCTTTTTATATGAAATAAAAGTGTTTTTTTCTTTTATTAGCTTTGCCGATCTCACCAAAACAGCCAAATAAAGACATCTTCAAAGAAATTGAAAGGTTGACTGTAGAATTAAGTCTGTGTAATAAGCGTGATGTTCAGGTTGAGACTGACCCAAATGAATTATGTGCTATTGCATTGCAAAATGCTGAACTGAAAGATAAAATTGACTCTCCTAGTTTATTTGCTCTGACAAAACCAAAAGAAACTCAGACTGATCCTATTATTGATTTGATTACTGAACAAACTTCTGTATTTCCTGAGCAACCTGTTACTGGGTCATCTTGTGTAAAAGAGATGGTTGAGCCTGTGGTGAAACAATCCGTCCAGGCTGTAATTGAGCCAGAACCATCCACTTCGGCTCAAAACCCAGCAAAAATTGTTGCATTGTTGCAAAAACTTCCTGAATTTTTACAATCAACAGCTCAAGCTGATGCAGCAAGGACTTGCCAGAGTTTACCTGAATTTCCTTTAGCGATAAGACCATTTTTGAAAGAAGAAGAAACTCATTCTCTTCCTCCTTCGAGGCTTTCTCCATCACCTCCACCATTAATACCCGAAATGCAAATCATAAAGCAATCTGAAGAAGCAGCAGACCTGTTAAACAGCACAGTTCAACCAAGCGCCCTGCAAAAATTAGAATGCATGCCTCCTCAGAGTATTTCAAATGTTGATAAGTCTATGCCATTTTTGAGGTTCTCAAATCCCCAGACAAATTCTCTGCTTGAAGTCAGGTTTCCTGAGGAGCATAAAAAATTCACCAGCTCATTTATTCTTCAGTCGAATTCACAAGGAGACGATATAAAGCTTAGCTATAATAGAGAGGATCATGAATTAGAAAACCAGAATAATTTAAAACCAATTGAGTATGAAGTAAAAAAGGAAGAGCTAAAAGAAGACATATTTCCACAGGTAGTTTGCCAAACTGATGATTTGTCAAAACTTGATGAAAACATGCAAGTAACTGGTAGTGTCAATGCTGAGAAAATTGAATTGAAACCTTGTAGTTCCATAAGTGTTGTTACAATTCCAACAAGTGATGATTCATCAAAAATGAGCAAAAAATTTACTGATGAACCGACTGAAAAAGCATCCCAGGGTGTCCATGAAGCAAGACAAGTACATGACGAAGCTTCTGAGGCTATATACCGTGAAATGGGAAGTGAACAACTACTGGACAGTTTATCATCAAATTTATTGAAACTTTTAGAAGTTAGAATCAATGAAGTTGTATCCATGCACTCAGAAAGCACAAAAGTGACTTCGAGTAAAAAGAAAAGTTCACAAACAGATTTTCGTGATTTAGATGAATTGTCTCTTAGTGAGTTGGAAAAACTTCAACATTTAGAAACAAATACAACACGCAAAATTATCAAACCTGCAATATCTTCTCAAAGTGATACTGATTCAGCAAAGACTGAACCGAGCCCAAGATTACTACCCATACCTCCAATATCTGTACCTTATAAAGTAGTAAAAAATGCGATAATCCAAGTAGACACGTACACTGACAAAAACCCAGAAGAGAAACAAAAATTCACATTTCCAAGATTTTTAAGGCCTTGTCCAAGTTTCTGCAACGAAGCAGAAGATATTCAGAGCATAAAGAAAAAAGTAAGAAAGGACCTTTTAGGAGAGACAATAACAAAAGTGCGTAGTTTAGATTCGGTGAAAGATCATCCCATGACCACTTCTCCCCTGATGTCAAGACTGCAAAAGAAACCACCTCCTCTGCATTTAAAACTGGGAACAAGTGGCGAATCTATACAAATTGAATATTGGGATTCGGTAAGTGAAAGTTTATACTGCTGGAAAGTATTAATTTTGTTTATTTTACTCATTAGTCATACGTCTCGTATGAATGTAGAATTCAGTGGTTAAAAACCATTTATGAGTTCCTGACAAGTTACAATACACCGTTGAGTTCATAAAATAAATTTGTTATAAAAAAAAAGAAGTAATTCCTGTCATGCACGAGGGCTCCAATTACCTATTTTACATTTTGTGAGTGAGGGGTCAGATTTATTTACAACTTTTTTAAAAAAATAATTCTCATATAAAATTCTAAGGGCAAAACCAGGGTATGAACCTAGAATCACAAGCATGACAAATCTAAGAATTAGACACCATAATGATTTAGCCACCTTATTAATTAATTTCTTTTCAAATCCTGTATGAAGATTTTATAGATAGTTTCTGTCCAGTGAATTTTATATTGCCCATTTCCTTTATCTTCAAAGAAAAAATGTTTTGGATAATGTGTATTTCTTTTTAAAAGAAAAGTTTTTGGTTTTGTTAGCATCCTTTTATTTCAAGGGGTTTGTTCATTTATCACCACGATTCCTATACCCTGAAATCAGTGGAATGTAACTGTTTTGCATTCCCACTGGTCATTTCTCATCAACCTGGTCCACCATATTGATTAGATATGTCAAAACTACAGATTCTGATATCCTGCAGATTTCATCAGGAAATCTCACAATATTTGGTTTGCTTTGCTAAGCAGCAATGACTACTCAAACTCCTCATCCTCCTTTTCTTGTGAGGCATACCTTTCCATCTTTTGTTGCCAAGGTGTTAAGCTATCCTCTTAAAGTGGTCCAAACATCTCTACTTTCTAGTTTCACTGCTTATTCAAAGTCATGTTTATAGAACAAATATCACTAAAACACATATATTTGTGCTGTTGTTTCAATTTAATTTTGTACTAACATCAGAATATTATGAATTACAACAATTTTCACCTATAGTATAAATGGTTATTTTCAAAAATATTCAACTGTTGATTCTGTTTAATTATTGTTTTGTTCAATTTCGTTTTTGTCGGTTTTATCTGTTTGCTTAATTTTTAATTCAAAATATTTAACTTGATGTTTGAATAATTGTTAGCTTCAAAGCCCATTTTACACACAAAAATAGATAATTGACTAAATGTTGTTTTATCTTCGTAAGTTGAAATGTATTACTTCCAGGATCAAATGTCTGAAGGCGAGATTGGCTATATTTTCACATCAAACTCATACAGCAGTGGTGAGATAAAGCCGAGGCCACTTAAACCGAAAGATCAAAATGAAGAAAAGTCCAGCCGAGCAAGTTGTTCCTTTTTGACAGATGAAGAATTCATAGCTGGACTCAGACAATTTCAAGATGAAAACCTCCCTGACCAGACTTCTCCAGTAGAAAGTGAAAATTCCAAAGAGAGTAAGTTTCAGTTACATTAGAGAAAATTCAAATTAAAACTGAACTTTATTCATAGGCTCGGTATATAACGAATCAGAAACAACACCAGAAACGACGACTAGTGAGACACCTTCTACAAGTGATACATCAGATAGTGAATATAATTGACTAGCTTTTAATCAATATTTTATACATTTAGTTTTAAATGTGTTCTGTACAATAAATAAAATATTTCTTATGTTTTTTTAACCTTCAGCCTTTCTTTAATTTTTTAAACAAAAATAACATTAACTATGTAGAAATGTTCTACATAAAAATAAGTACATTTAGTTAACAAAGAAATTGTTTGAACAAGAAGACAACTTTTTTTAATATTCAATGTCTGCATGAAATATCCCTTGTCCTCACAAGAAAATATATTTCATTGAAAAAAATTTGTGCCTTGGCCCAGTGCAGAAAGAACCTTAGACTAAAGTTATTATCATTATTGTTATTATTATTTTTTAATAAATCAAAATTGGACTGTTTGAGTTGGTTCCGCATTTGACATTAGACATGAGCATTCAGGTCTCAACATTAATGCCATGACTGATAAATGCCCACAATTGACTCAGAAATTATGAACATAGGATTTGAACTTCTATAAACAGATTTCAGATTGCCTCTTTGTAGGAAACATCGATGGTTGAGTGCTGAATAAATATTTATTCACTGGACAACTAAGGAATTTTCATTAACAGAAGAATGAAAAATTGCTCTTAAAAAGTAGCATAAACTAATATAAAAATATTAAATTACTAAATATAAATCATACAACTTCCAAAAGAGTTTTAATAAAGTGAAATGAATTTATGGAGTTTTCAAAGCAGATACCATTATAGTTAAGATAAATGGGCTAGTTTCTGCATTATTTCAAAAATATTAACTCAATCTTCAAGTCAGTTGACAAAAACATATTTGAACAGTAATAGGCAACAAATTTGAAATGTTAATAAATACAGAAAAGCTTACAAAATTTTACAAATTACAAAACCCAAATGGTTACTTTACAAAACCCAAAGAAATAGGGTGTAAACACAAAACTGAAATGCCAATAAAGCCCAGAAAAGTGAATACCACAAACTATACCAAAAATTAAATTCTTAGAACTTGCAAACAGATAGGTATATGTACAAACAATAATAAAATTAACTGGCATGGGATAACAGTTATACATATTTAGTCAGCTTTAGTGCTGAATTGTCAACTTGGAGGAGAGAAAGAGTGTTGCTGCTCCATACATAATTTAGAATAAGTCATGAACAACAACAACCCCCCACAGTTTTAACCTAACATGCTCACTCTCTCACTCTAAATACATTTTTTCTTATTTATACATGTATGCCCTTTTACTCAAATTCGGTGATGGAATGCTAGGTATTCATCACTCTTTGCCCATTTAAACAACTATACATACAATACCTAGTCTAATTGAGGGTCAATGAGCACCTGACTTATTCCGCCAGTGACGCTATTGTACTACATACACATTTATGCATACATTCTTACGAAACAGTTAAAATATCTAACTCCACTCTTAGTATATATACAATATATTAGCTGCAATAAATAAAAGATCTATATTAGAATTACCCGTTTCCTCTGAAATCAGAATAGCAGCCTCACAGATCGGCTTGACACAATTCTCATATTGAGAGGAATTCCTACTCACTCTCTATATGGAGCCAATATAGGGAATAAATTATTTTGGACACATTGAGCAATGTTTCTCTACATGTTGGACACATTCGTGGGCTTTGGACAAAAATAACAATTCAACGAAATAAAATTTTACAGGAGAGACAAATGGAAGTCTACTTTTTTTGATATGCATTAAGTACATGCTGTTACAGTTGGCAATAAAAACTGTCATGATCCACAATATTGTCTGTTTCTCCAAGACTTAAGCGAAAACACAACACTTCAAAAATCCAGCTGTACTACCCGTTTATGAGTTGTGCCACTTTTCTTGCAAACTTTGGCTCTCAGTAATTTAAGTTAGTCTGTTTGCTCTAACGACAATGGTGGTCTATGAATGACTGTAAGGGTATTAATTTTTTTGTGATAGTAACAACATAAAAACCTAGCAAACAAGCATAAATATCCATGTAGTAAGTTTTACTAAGATTATTTTTGACCAAATGAGTTTTCCTCCTGGACTCAGGCCTAATTAGTTATTTCTAATACAAAATTAATTATTGAAATAAAGGTTAAAAATATTGTAATTAAAACATTAAAAAAATTGTTTAAACTATAAAATAATCTAAAAGTTGAAAGACAACATTGTTAAAAAATTGTGAAAAAAACAATATTATAATTAAGAATTTTATTAAAATAAAAGAAATGTATGATCAAGGTATGGTCTTGAAGAAAAAAGCAAATTCAGTTGTTACTGCCAAGCTTTCAACCTACTTTAAGGTCGACATCAGGGTCTATATTAATTTCACATTATAAAAAACGTTTGTGCAATTGATTTAACAATTGTTTTTCATAATGTGAAAATGTGACTATGGAACAGCATAAAATTCTTGACTAAACAAGAAAAAACACAACTTGAAATGTGCCACTTTTCCTGAAAAATACTGATGCTTTAAAGCTCGACACATACAAACAGGCATTTCAAAACATCAAAAATGCACTACCGATGGTAGGAGCGTAAGGGGGTGTAGGTGCTGCAAAGTGGAAAAAGGAAATATTCATTTTCACTAAATCCCTAGCAGGTAACTATATCGTCAAAATAATAGCCATAAATAAATCTCTCAACATTATCCATTCAGACAAGTAAATAATGGTTATTTGCTCTGACTCCATGAATGTCCTGCACACATTTAATCATCTTTTCAGCAATAACCCTATGGTACTGGATCTATAGTTCTCATTGAGACATCTTACGCAGCAAGGGAAAAGGTTTTTTTTCTGGAATCCTGGTCATTTGGGTATCCATGGCGCTGAGAGAGCAGGTAGGGCTGCCAAGGAGGTAGGTGGAGGTGAAAACGTTGTTGCGGAGGTAAGCAAGGATGACCTCCTTATGGCCTTTAGGGAGAAAATATATTTACAGTGGCAAAAAACCTGCCTTTCCTTTACAAACAACAAGGATTGCCCTTCATCGTTTAGGTTAAAGAGAAGGGAAGGAGTTGAGAATAGGACATTGCCAGACCATCAAGGGTCACTTCCTAACCAGTCCACCTACAGTTGTGTCATTTTTCCTGTAGCATAACACACCCGAATACCTAAAAAAACTAAATAATCCGATTTTTACATTTTTCAGCTTGTGTCGCTTTTCTTGTGGGTGTATGATATCCAATTCTAAGTGAGATTAGGTTAATCCTTTTTTTATTTTACAAATAATAATTGAATTTGTTATCATCATTTATTAAATATATTATAGGAATAAAAACTATAATATTATTTATTACCTTGTGATATGAAATAAAATTTCACCAAGTTGAGAGACGGCCAAAGACCATTCTTAAATGATTTTAACTAATAAGATTATCTTTTTTATAGATTATTATTTTAAAATGTTTATTTTGTGTTGTATATAATTAAGAAATGCATAAAAGCAGTTATTCATCATTCAAGTGGCAAAATGGAGGATAGATTAAGCCTGATGGAAAGGGAATTCCGCTGTATCGCTAGTGGCGACGCTAGACGTTCGTTCACTTCACTTCGATCGAAGCTCCCTTGAACTTGATAAAGAATCATCGATACTTCCAGTCAAATTAATAAAAAGGAAAATTCATATTCACATACAGAAAGCTGTAAGTATCAGTTTGGATAGGAAAAAAAACGGCGAGGAAGAGATCGATCTTCAGCCCGAACGGGAAAAAGTCGAAACTATCATACTGTCGGTGCCTCGGTGGGTCTCGCCGTCGCTAGCTGCGCGTTCGTCGAACCAAGCAGACCGCCGCACAAACTCTCGTCTCGTTCTGTCCGGCCGTCGAAAACGCCGGACTTGAATTGTTTTTCCCCGGCTGGAGCACGTTCATCGCAGCGAGGGAAGCCCAGAAGAAAAGGATGAACTGGAGGAAAATAGGTGAGTGGGTTTATTTAAGAGAATCGGTCGTCGGATTGCCGCCGCCTCGCCTGCTTCAATATAGTTAACCTTTCAGGGCAAACAAGCCGCTTCGGGTTCGTAGATGGAGTTCTTTTTATCTGGAAGACCGTCTTGTCATCCCGGTTTGGCTTATTCTCAGTCTCGCAGACCCCTTCCTTTGCTGAACTGTCTGTTTTCTTCAATTCCCCCAACGGATAAACAATTACGCCTCCGTCGGTCTTGCTTCAGTGAAGGCATCTCGCAAGAAACGCGTCGAGCCCGCTTCGGCATCGGCGTTTGTCTCACTGTCGTTCCTAGATAATTCATAACGATCCCTTGAATTTCTAAAAACTCACGACTCCTGCTCGAATTTCATATGTAATATATTATTTTCTGTTTTGGCATTGTTTAAAGCATTTGGTTGAAGAAATTCCGTTGTTCATTTAGACCAGTGGCCATAAAAAAGGTTGGTTTGTCCAGAGCGAAAGTAGCTAGGCTGGGTCGCTAACCCAGGGTAAACTTTTCCACGACAACACCATGCTCATCTGTCAATACTATTCTCTAGTTAAACTAATTAAATGCAAACATTTCAAAAAGTTCATTTTTGCATTAATTTTACCCATTAAAAAAATGATTAAGCAATTAACATTTTTAATTAATAAAAAAATGAAAGGGCTGCTCCTTTCTAAAGTGCTTTTACATAAATTTGTTTTCTTTGAAATCTGCTGTCCTTGACGACTTGCACACTCGACTCTTTTTACGATTGTAGATTATTCACAGAAAACCTGTGTCCTCACTTGATTAGAAATTTCACATTTTCGGTTTTGATATCATTTGTCATAAGCCGTGAATCGTTTTCATTTAAAAAACCACTTGTCATGATTCAAACTATCTTTCGTTAAAGTTTCAAGTTAACAGTTAAATGTGTGGTGATTAGTGACCGTTAATCGATATTTATTTAGAAATCGTGAGATGCGGTTTGGTAACAGTTAAATGTGTAGTATTTCGTGACCGTAATTAATGACTATTTGGAGAACGTGAGAGCATTCTGGTGTGATGTTGGTTTAGAAAAACCTTTATCATGCCAACATTTCGATCTTTATTGAGATCATCTTTGGGGCCTGGGATTTATAAACATTTGTAAATTATACAAATACATGTAAGATGTGAAAATGAGTTTTTACAATTACGTACACAATATAGAAATTTTAGGTTTAATCAAAGTATTTGTACTCGCTCAAAGCGTGTGTAGATGTGTCACGATTGTGTTTCCGTTGAGAGTATTAGTCAGATATTAATGAGAGATTGTTAGTCAGGTATTAATGATTTTTTCTTTTTGTTTATATAAGTTTGATTTTGAAGGGCACAGAAAACACACTTTGAGTAAGAACAAATATTTTGATTAAACCTAAAATTTCTATCTTGTGTATAAACTGTATATAATTGTATAAACTCATTTTCACATCTTACGTTTTTATAATGCCCTGAAGATGATCTCAATAATGATCGAAACGATGGTCTGGTAAGAAAATGTATTTCTAAACCTACATCGTACCAGACCGCATCTAAATAGTCATTAACAGTTAATTTGGAATTCGTATTTAAAGTTGAGTGTTGTAATGTAGGCGGCATTTGAGGTGAATGTGTATACACGGTGCCCTAGAGATAGTGCAAACCAAATTTTTTTTGGTGATAGTTCACCTCGTTAACAACAATTTTCAATGTTTAGTCCGTATGCCTATCTTCAGTCCCTGACGAGTTAAGATTTTCATTAGTTTTAAGCCATTTATGTTTTAGTGGTCAATTGACCAAGTTACTTTTTTCAATTAATTATTCTTTTTGTGTAAGGTCTTGGTTGAGATAAAAAAGTCACTGTCACGAGCAGGATTCGAACCCACGACCTTCGGCTAAATATGCCACTGCTCTACCACTTGAGCTATTGTGACAAATGTCACGATTTGGTCAATTGACCAATTCACTGACTTTTTTCATCTTAACCAAGACCTTACAAAAAAACAATAATTAATTGAAAGGTAGTTTTAACATCGAAACGTTACCTTACTTGAGGAAAAAAAAACACAAATATCTATCATCAGAGCTACCACAGTTTTGGATTCAGCATTACATTTCTTTTACACTATTTTCATCTGAAATAATTTTCAATTAAAAACTAAAAAAATGCTCCAATTTGAAAAATACCACAAAGTTTGGTTTTTAAGAAATAATATAAACTTAGAGATACCCTTATATTTAATCCTAGAGATTGTCAAACTTCACAAAAAGTTCATGATTTAATAAGCTTTGAAATGGTGTAAGAATGCCCATATTCCCGCCTGATTGTAGTAGACTTATTGCTTATCAATTATTGGAAAATGTACATGAGATCAACACTCACGGTTCAGGTGATGCTTCCGATTGTGAGGCAAAAGAAATAAGTGGGATTATATGAAAGATAATCCTTATACGCTTCAACTGTAGCTTACGGTTGAAATCTAATTCAATCAAATTGATTAATTTTTTGAGATTATACAGCCCGGAGGACTACATGTTGAGCTGGCTCCCTTTTTCAAAAATAAAAATTATTAAAATCAAATAAATTAAAAAAATAGATGAAAGAAAGGAATATGCTATGAACTGAAATAATGGTAAAATAAATAAAAAATAACGAGGGGCCGCAAAAAAAGGGGGGTTACTTATCTGGGGTATCATTACGAGTAGGCGATGGGGTGATGATGGAGTTCACACCCAAGTCCACCAGCTAAGATAATCCTTACAGGTTTCAACTATAGCTTACGATTGAAATTTAATTCAATTAAATTGATTAATTTTTTAGATTGTCTGGCCCGGAGGACCACATGTTGAGCTGACTCCTTTAAAAAAATAAATAAAAATAATGAGGGGTTGTAAAAAAAAGTGAAAAAGTGGTTTCAAGTAGGCAACGGAGTTTAGGCCTGAGTCCACCAGCTCCCGATCATAAAAGCCCATAGTTAAGTAAGCTGGGAGGAAGACGATTTTTACAGGATTAGGGAAGAAAATGTTTCCCGACCTGGACATTTTGAAAACAATTTGTAATGTCTAATGCTTTTAAATCCTTCAATAATTTTTCCAATTTGAGCATCTATTAAGGTTCTAAACTGAAAATTATTTCAGATGAAAGTAGTAGTGTTTTTCTCTAGTAAGGTCAACATTACATCATTACTTGATGTTGTGCTAATGTTTCAGTTATAAATCAATTTTGGATGTTTATTTAAATGTGTGTTGTTCTGTAACTAATCTGAATGTCCATAATTTATATTTACATATTTCTATTTATCTTTTTTTTAAATATTACTTTTTATGAGGTTACAAGATATTTCAGCTATGAGGTTATATGAAAATTGAAAAATGCCATCAGGTTTGAACTCAACTTGTTAGGCTGTTGGATTCAAACATGGGACCATTACCTTATAGTGATGTCAATGCCTAAACCACCAACCATGTAAATCAACACCCCTTTTTATTATTGCTATGATGAATTTAACTTGAACATTCCTGTCGCATATCATAATTTGATGATTGGTAGTACAAAGAAGTAAACTATTCTGAGTTTCATATTCTCAGTTTTACTAGCATTTGTGATGCAACCCATGAATAGTTTTTCTCCTTGAAAACGATACTTTCACCTGTAACTCATATCTCATAGAGTGTTTTCACCAGAATCTTTCATTGCCAAATAATTTGTTGGCTTGACTTTAAAGTTCAGGTATATAAAACTATACTAAAATGTGAATGGAGTGTATATTTTATTATATTGATTCATATACGTATTTAGTAGTCATAATTGACCATATTATTTACATTAAATATTTTTTTATCCAAGGTCTTGGTTGAGATGAAAAAGCAAATATCATGAGTGGAATTTGAACCCACGACCTTTGGCTCAATACACTGCTGCTCTAACCACAGCGTCATGATAGCTCAAGTGGTTAGAGCAGAGATGTATAGAGCCGAACGGGTTCTGGGTTCGAATCCCGTTCGTGACACTTGCTTTTTCATTTCACCCAAGACCTTAGATTAAAAGTGTATATTTTATTATTAAAAAATATTTAGCATTGTCATTAGTGTTTTAGTCACTTTTATATAATTTGTATGAACCAGATTTTTCTCCCTTCAGGTCAGATGACCGAATGGATATTCTCTTGGCTCATCAATGACCCTGTGGTTGTTGGTTTGATTCACACTGTTGCTCCTGGAACTTTTAACTTCCTGCTGTAAAAAAAGTTATTTTTGTAAGAATAATCAAATTTTGGCTAAGCAATAAACATGAACATAAAGCCATTAAAAAAACAGTTCAGGCTCCACAAAAACTTTACAATCTGGCAGACTGCCTTTCAAATAAATTTATTTGATGTTATTAAACAAGTCTCGAAGGTTGTTAAATAACATTAGCATACAGGCGGAATGTGCATATTTTATGTGTTATGAGGTTTGCAACAGCATAGGTTATATGAAACCTCGGGATCCCAGTGTTTTTAGAAAAAGCCCATTTGTAAGTTCTCTGCTTGATTAATAATTCTTTTAAAAAATTCCAAACAAATATTTTGATACTTTTTCAACCGTTACTTTTCTTCTCATCTTTTTTAATCAAATATGTTGTTCGATGATTGTGTCATAACTTGTAAATTTTTAAACTGATTGGAACTTTGCTTGGAATTTTGCTATATTGGGTCTGTCAATTCTCTTGCTTGTTTAGATGTCTCTCAAGCGTATTTAAGCATACCCCATCGTCTTCAGTGAGCAACTGAGGTTCAAACATGCAAAAATGTGTACATATGCCACCGATCAGTTTATGCTAGTTCCCTCGGACCAATCAACCACCACCAACTCATAAATATTTAATACACCCAGCACAAGTTAATTCATTGGCTGAAAACTTATAATTTATAGAAATTGAAGTATACAGTAGACTCATTGTTGCTTTCACTTATCTGCGGTTTCCCCCCTCCCACCCTAGTTTGTTTAGACGAGAGTGGGAACATGATGAGTCACAGAAAAACAACTGAGCACAATAAGTTGCAGTTCCGTCATACAGTTTCATAAGTTCGTGTATAACATGACAATAGGCACACGTGATATAGAATGTGTCTAATTGTTATGCAGATAGAAGAAAATGCTTCCAAGCCTGAAATTTGAGGTGTTTCCTATTATCCGTGGATTTTACATTGAAAAAGTGTGTTTATTTTACATAATGTAATTTTTTTTTTCATCAATACCTAAAATATAAGGGTTGTTTGATGTAAAATTTATTTTAAAACTAGCATCTGACTATTACTTTTTGGTAGCAATTAAAAATAAGATCAAAATAATAATTAAGAATATAAATTTAAAGGATCAAAACAGTATTGGTACAGTACAAAAATTTTTGAAATAAACTTTCATTTACATTTTATTATTTTGTTACCATTCCATTTACATTATTTACAGCTTGAAGTTTTCGTGGCATCAACAAGGTTGTGGATTATTTCAGGTCTTAATCGCATTCTTGTATTACAACAGTTTGACTTTTTGAAGAAATTGTAGTTTTTTGCATCCAGCAAGTATGCTCCGTGGGATTTATATCCAGTGATTGGGGTGGTGTTTTGATCTGCGAACTTACAAAGTTCCCTTCTTTTATTGGTAGTGTGCTTCAAATATTCGTCAAGTTTATTTGTACAAATTTTAACTTGGACAAAGTGTGGCCCAAATCGTATGTACCATCAATAAAGTTTCACGGGAGGGAATCATTAGCGAATGCATGGTGCAGCGATGGTTTTAGAGATTTCAATCTTGAAAACGGGGAAGGTCTAGTGTTGTGGAAGACAACCAACTGAAAACGTTAATTGAAGAAAATTCTCATAAGAAACCACAGGAGAAGAGCTTAGTGTTGATCACTCAACCGTTGTTTGCCAAATGGAGCAAATTGGTGAAGTAAAAAAGCTCAACAAGTGGTTACCGCCCGAACTAAACAAAGCCCAAAGAAATTGACACTTTGAAATTTGCAAGTCTCTTCTGTTGCACAATCAGATGGATCCATTTCTCAATTTAATCATAACATGCGATGAGAATTCTGTACAAAACCGGTCAGTGGTTGGACAAAGATGAAGCGCTAAAACACTTCCCGACACTAAATCTTCACCAAAAAGTTTGCAAAGATGTATAGATTGTCGTGGAAAATATTTTGAATAAGTTTTCTTTATTATATAAAAATTAAAAATAGTTTTGACTGCCTTTTTTTTTTTTTTTTTTTCAAAACCTGCATTATTTTTGCACCAGCCCAATATTTGTTTTGCCGAAGTTTGTACATTCGATTCAGGCTCATGGCACTAGCTTTTTCATCTCAACCAAGACCTTAGATAAAGAGTATAATTAATTAAAATAATTATGTATTATAGTAAAATTTATCTTAATTAACATTATATTATTTTATTATTATTATATTATTAAAAGGAAAAAATGTAGGTATAATACAGTATTAACTGAATTTGCTGGAATTCTTGGCTATGTGTCCACAGATTTATTTTGGTTATTCATTTATTAAGTAGTTTATGGCTGTTTTTCTCCACCAACGATCCTCCCAATCATGGTTGTCTGCAATGTTATTTTCCATTTTGTGAAAAACATTTCATTTTTGCATGTATTTGTAAATTTAAAAAAAGACTAATAATAATAATAATCAATGATTCTCGTTTTTGAAGTTTATTTAGACCGGAGGGAAGTAGTATATCACTTTTTGGCACCTTTGGATTATTAAACTTAGAAATTATCAGTTAAGGTTTTAATAATATGGGGCATTGGTGGCCACAACGGTTTAGGCGCTCATCACTGTAAAGGTTTGAATCCAGTGACCCTGAATTAAAAATGTACCAAACATTTGTTTTCAGTTTTGAACGACATTGTTAATCTAGCAGAGAATTTAAAATCTTTCTCTCTAGTTTACATAGGATTAACGTAGTTGAAGTATTATTACGATTATTAATATAAACAATTTCGGTATGTTTGTTTCTGGGCTGATTATTATAAGGCAGCATAAGAAATTAAACTTCATTTGCTGCTTCTATCGCTAAACTCGACTTCATAGTAAACAAAATCTATAATTTTTTAATAAATTATAAATTGCAAATTGTGCTTTTATAATTTTAAAGCTTATGTGGTTAAGAAACTTGCAATGTTTCCATTTCCAAAAAAAAAAATTAATTTTTTTTCTCTTTTGCAGAATGATCTGTTTGGAATGGTTGTTTTTAAGGAAAACGAAAAGTCGGTTGATGGTGTTAAAATCTCAAGTGACACAATGAGTGAAAGCAATTTGAAGTTGCCAGGCGTAGCCAGCTTGAAGAGCCCCAAGGATGAAGAAAAAGACGACATTCTCTTGAATGGAATTGGTATGAGTTGCTTTCATTTGCCACCTTGACCTACATTGTCTGCTCTCACTCTTCGCTCATTTCAGTTTGACTCAAAAAGCATTTTGGTGAATCATTGAAGCCCGGCTGTCTGAGAAGACCGGAAGTTATTGTTATTTATGTTAGAACAGTCTTGATTTGAGAAATTTGTATAAGAGAACATTCCAATTGTACAGTTACTTAATTATTTTAATTGAAATGAAAGTTCTATGAAACAAAAATGAAAACTTATTTATATGAAAAGTTTATGATTTTATGTTTAAATATACTTAATTTATTTAATTGATTGGGCTTCTCATTGAATATTAAATAAATTCTGGGTAAACGAGGATAAAATTTTTCATTACTTTTTTACTCAAACATCTTTGGTCTGCCATGCTTCTGCTAACATCAGTCTCATTTGTGTGGTTTTTTTTTTTTTTTTTTTTTTTTTTGTTGGGAAAATGAATATTTAATAGATTTTTTTTAATGCTTGTTACCATCTGCATTATGTAATTTTATGGTACATATTTACAATAACATTGACACAGTAAATATCTTGAGAAGGGATTCGTGAAATTAACTATGTACATGCTTAACATGCAATGTTGCAATTTGGGATGAACAAGCCTTTTTTTATAGTGGCAAGGATTTTTTTTTTATTTATTTATTTTTTAATTCCATGGAATTATTTAGAATATTTAACAAAGTATTATTTTTAACACAATTAAAAGGTTTTCCTTTAATTTATGCCTAACGATATTTTTAAGTTGTAGTTTTTTATATTTTGCTATATGAAACGTTATTATTTTAATAATTGCCATGGAATTTTATTTATTCTTGAACTAATTTTCCTTTTATTTTAATGTTAAGCAAATTTTAAATGGTTGCCAGATTTTAGGGACAACAGGTTATTTTTAATGTTACATAGGTTTTTTATTTATATCTATATCACTTGATCTTGTGATTTTTCCTTCTTGAAGGTGGGATAATAGGTCATCTCAAAAAAACCACAACCAATTTTTATCCACAACGTTTCAGATTTATTTTAATCCTTCCTCAGGTGAAAATAAATCCGAAACGAGGATAAAAACTGGTTGTGGTTTTTTTGAGATGACCTATTATCCCACCTTCAAGAAGGAAAAATCACAAGATTAACTGTTGAGGTCAAAATATAAGAAAACATCGTTATATCACTTAAATTAAAATTATAACCAGGGACCACAGAATGATTATTGCCTGACTTGTATTTGCCAAGCGAGTGGCTCTGAGTTCAAATCCCGGTATAACCCATGGAATTTTATTTGAGATTAATTTAGAAAAAGTATCGTAAAATGATTCTGACCCCTTTCCATGACATCCAATGGTAGTTGGACATTAATCCTTATGATATGAATACTACTTATTGATATTTATAAATATCGAAAAATAGTTTAGGTTTTACTACATATAAATAGAGCAGGTTTTTTATTATTTTTTTAACAATAAAATTGCTATTATAATTTTTCTTCAATAAATATATTTATTGTTCATGTTTAATATTTAAACAATAGGACTAAGGTGGAATATTCAAATGTTTAACCTTGCATTGTGGCCTTCAACTTTTCCCCACTTTACTCCAACAAAGCTACAAACGTACAATTGGTTCATTGATTTTGTTATAAAAATAAAATGCGATGAAATTAAAATTTGATTTATTTGACACTTATACCAGTTTTTTATTTAGTTAGATTATACTTTTTTGTTTTCTTTAAAAAAAGTACTTCATATTTTCACTTCATACATTATTGTTTATTAACACATGCTATCGTGGAGATGTCAATTATATCATGGGGGGTAGGGCTTATCACAAAAGCACAATATTATTGGAGTGGAATGACCTTTGAAAAGTTTAACGCATACACAGTATTTTTCATTTAAAATTAAACAAACTTAAACCGTACTGTTCAAAGCATCATACATTTTTACATACACACGTGCAAAGTTTTATGGATAGAGTTGAATTTGAAATATCCAATATTAGGATCTGTATGTGGGATGTTTTTTGTAAAAGAACTGTAGGAGATGAATTGTGGTTAAAATCTTTTTTATAATGCGCTTCAGCCAAGTTTTCCACTTCCAATGCATAGAATTTTCCAAGAAATTTTTTTATGTTTGACATCTGCCAATCTGCTCTGTTCCATCACTTGCAGTTTTCTCACTTTTCGTTTCTCAGTCTAGAAGCATTGATATTTTGAGGAACTATGCTATGCATTATTTAGTATAACTTTTTTACCCGAATTGGCGATGTGAAAAACTTTTTATAATTTTTAAATATTTTTCTTATTTAACCTTGCTAAATTACATTGAAATCCCCCTCCAGTCTTTATTTGTTAACACAACTTTAAAACCCTCTGCTCAAATGTGATGCAGCTTGTAAAACAAAAAACAATAAGATATAAAATATTGAGATAGGTACAACTGGTTTGTTGTTTAGTCCTTTATTATTGCTAACATTCCTGCTTGACAAAATTACTTTAAAGTAATTTGTTAATATAATTCATTATATATGTCTTCATATATATTACACAAACTAACATCTTAGCAGGAGATACTTTGCTTAATAAGTAAAATTATATTCACCTGCAGCTAAAATATCGCTTTTAATTTATTGCTATTTTAAAGTTAATTGTTTATTTGAGCCAATAATAATTTCAGTGTCAGTGAAAGAAGAACAAATAGAAGATGAGGTAGACATTAAGCTAGAAAGTGGCCCAAGTATTTCAAAAGAAATAAAGGTTGAAGTAACTGACCCCATCGACACAGAGGATGCTGACAAAACAGATAGCAATATATCGGTAAATTATCAGTTGGTATTAATAAGTGTCAGCAGTTCATTTATTTAAATTTTATTTTTCTTTTCTTGTTTTTGTTTGCAGCCACAACCAAAAAGTATACCAAAAAGGAAATTCTCGCGATCATCTCTTTCAACCAGGTCGTCACGATCTTCTTCGATGGATTTCACATCTGAAAAACCCGAAGAACCATCGTCAACACAAGACGAGTTTGAAAGAAAACCCGAGAAACTCAAAGAAGAATCTTCAGAAGAAGAGGAAGAAGATTTCCTCGGTTTTGAGACGCCATCAACATTAAAGAGGGACCAATTTGCAAGGGCCATGATGGGTATGCTAATTTAGTCTTATGTTTCTTTCAAAATATTTTCTATGAACCAAACAATCAATCCTCACTTGTTGGTCTGTAGTTATGTTTTTATCCTATGAAATTATATTCTTCAGATTTGACCAAAGATAAACTTTTCCAATTTTAATTAATTTTATTATTTATTTTTTCAAGCTGAGAGCAATTTTTAAGTAGACTTAATTCTTATTGTATAAAGTCGTTTTCTAAAATTAATTTTGCCTTCATTTGCATTGAATTATCAGAAAAAGACGTCGTTGAAGATGAAATCATGAGTCAAGAGGCCTCCTCTGATCATATGAGCACCGATAATCCTCCAAGTGGTATGTAAAAAATGATTTGTTGAAAAAATTGCATTATTTTATTTTCAATGCTTGACAAAATACAATCTCTGCCTTCTGAATTCACCGCCTTCTTGTGTTGACACTTTACGACAAAACATGTGTTAGCCGCCAGCTCAGTCAAAGATTCTATCTCTTAAAAGCTATTTAAAAAAAAAAAAAAAAAAAAAGATTTTAGTCGTTGGTACTCCAATCTTTTATCTGTTACAAAATGAGTGGCTGCGACATTGAGAGTTATCACTTCCCTACATTTGTAAGCCTGTTAAAACGATGTGAGTACCTATTTTATGAGAGTAATTACTATTTAATTTTTGGGAGATGAGGTCAATAAAACCTTTATCCAGGGAAATGGTGGGAGGGTGTGCTCCAGTAATCGAAAAAACCCTAGCCAAACCATCCATCAAATATGTTTAGATAAAGGTTAATTATGAAGGAATGTGTAAAAAATTGAAACTAACAATTATGTAATATACTACATACATTATGTCCGTCCTCATTGCCCTTTAAGTGATAATGTTCACAATACTGGGCTGGTGCAAAAATAATGCAGGTTTTGAAAGGCAGTCAAAATTATTTTTAAATATTATAAAGAAAATTTATGCGAAATATTTTCCATCACAATCTATACATCTTTGCCAACCTGTAATAAGTGCTTTTATTCTGCTGACATAAAAATCTTTTATTTCGACTCACTTTTTTGCTTTACCGTGTACTCTAAAAATTTTGTCCCCCAAGAAGTGATCAAAATGCCTAAAGAAATGGTCGTCTGAAGGTGAGAGGTTGTGAATATGGAGGGTGCAGTAAGGTTTCATATCTTATTATGTGGAATGTGGTTATCGTGAAGAAGAACCAGCCCCTTACGGTTTGCCATTGCTGGACAGAGATGTTGCAATTTCCCTTTCGTTTTGTCAATTTCATGGCAATATTTCTCTCCTGCGATAATTTCTCCATAATTCAGGAAATTATAGTGAACAACTCCAGCAGTTCACCACTAAACAGTCACCATAACGCTCTGTTCCATCACATTTTTTTTCTTTTTTTTTTAAATATTATACAAAAAAGGTCGATGGTCTGTCCTTGTTATGGAGATCTGCCATTTCAGTATTGGTTAGTTTTTTGAAACCCTCTTCGCTTGTATCCAATTCCAGGCAATTTTTCATGCCATCCATCCCTGTCAACATCGATGAAATTGGGGAGAGTTTTGGCAATGACAAGAAAGTCATTTTTATCAACTGACACCATTGGTCAAGAAATTGGAACTCCCTCAGCCATGGTTCTGCATGAACCACTTGGTCACCATCTGTTAATCCATTCCGTGTGAGAATTCCCACCCTATTTCTCACCATGCACAATTAAAACATAATTAAAAAATCAATGTTATTTAGCATTGCATTATCAGAAAAATATTTAAAAAATGGTAAAATGTTTGTTCACCATAAAAAAAATGGACATATTCTATAAGTGCTCCTCAAATTATCATCAACTTCCCTTCTAGATAGGAAATGAGAAATGAGGGAAACGCAAGTGATGAACAGAGCTGATCAGCAAACATAAAACAATTTCTTGGAAAATTCTAGTCAGCGGGAGTGGAAAACTTTGATGGAGCACAATATAAAAAAATTTTACCCTCAATTCGTCTCGGTTTACAGTTCTCGGACAAAAACAACTATACATATCTCAATATTGGGTATTTCAAATTCCAACTCTATCCGTTAAAGTTTGTGCATGTGAATATAAAAATGTATGATGCTTTGCTTGCTTGGTTAGGCTTTTAAAAGGCCACTTATATAAATAATATCAATATGTGGCATTGTTATTTCCAGATTAAATAACAAATGGTAGCATAAGAAACCAAATCAGAATATTACACAACATAGAAGGTTATAGAATTGATCCATGATTCTTACTATAGAATGTGGCTGTTGCCCCAATAGGCTATTAGTTTACAAGCCTGTCGACTGATTCATAAGGTAGTCATCTCGACAAGTCTTTGTCGGTCGTCCCAGCCACAATTGTGAAGCCATACTTGGATGTTCTTTGTTTTGTCATCCCTAGTAAAATTCTCAAGGGAATCAATCGAGTCTTTAAAAGATAATATTCTGTGTCTTCTCTCGTGCTCATCTAACTTCTGGTATTTTGGCATCCCTCATCTTTTTTTTAGGAAAATTGCATCATAACTGGTGTGACACCTTTCTACCCTCGTCCACTCAATACACAAATCGACATTATTTTTTGAGCCCCCCCCCCAGTTCTGTTTACCCAAATTGGCATATTTCATCATATTTTTCTCCTATGTGAGACATTTTATAATTTTTGAAATATAGTTCTTAATAACGCAAGCCAAATAACAATAACAGTGGGACTTTTGGGAAATGGTTGTCATACACGGAATGGTTAAATTGTCCCACTGAAAAATGTGGTATATTGTTTTCATTAATAATGTCATGATATTACCAAAATTTTCATACCTCAACATAATTTTCTTTAAAGGAATTCCAGATGGGCATAAAATCAAGGAATTATGTTTATGACTCAATATATACAGTAGTAAATGATAAAATTATATAAATGACATTGTAAGATTGTATGGGAAATGGATTAAATAAATATTTATAAAATATAAAAAATCAAATTTTTTATTGTCTGCTCTAATTTTATGATTTATAATGAAATAAATAATTGGTTTCATAACAGAGATATTAACAATTGTCTTAGAAGTAAACTTCCATTAATTATTAATACAATTGTTATTTTATTTTAAAAGTTTGTTTACACTACTCACTACAGCAACTATTGTATAACATTGACATAATTAGATTACTCTCAACAATTTTTCCCACCCATTGTCCTTAATTTCTCACAAGTGTAGGCAGTTAGTCCAGGACCACTTGATCAATCTGTTTTCTCTTATTATATCAAAAAATGAAATTGTTTACAGTTGATTCTGATACATATGTTCTTGGAGAGGTGAATCCGTCAAAACGTAGCCTCCGATCACACAAAAAAAGCATTTCAGTTGACTTATCAAACCCTGGATTCAGGAAACCCTTCGATTATGGTATGCATTTAATTAATTAACCATAGTTTTTTAAAATTATTTTTATTTATTTATTTTAAATACAATGCCTTTTCTTTTAGGATGGGTTAGGGAGTTGGTGTTTAGAAGTATTCACGAAGGAAATATGAAAAGGAATGCAGATGTTTATTACTACACCCCATCCGGTAAAAAAGTTCGATCTTGCAGAGAAGTAGCGGATTATCGTAAGTGAATAAATCTCGACTGGTACATTTAAAATGTAAAAAAATTTAATCCAAAATGTTTTTATGACAGTTACTGAAGACTTGACAACGGACAATTTTACATTTTTTAAAGAGCCTATAGGAATAAATGATTCCACCAAGGAAATCATCCGAGAAGCCAAGTCCAAGCCGATGCCTAAGATGAATGAGGTAGGTTTTTACTGGAACTTTTAAAATTAAAAACTTTTTTTTATATGGCTCTTTGTGTTTCAGGATGGCACTCCGGTAGTTAAAAAGTCAACACCAAAACCGAAATCTAGTAAAACACCCAAAGGAGTTTCAGACAGCCCAAAGAGTGTCATGCCAAGGGTTGTTTTGTATAAATCAAATGTGGTTAATAAAAACAAATTCATCCAAGGTAAATCTAAGTTTGGTGAGTGCTCATAATAATTAATTTGGATGTGGTGCATATTAGTATAATAGTGCCAAAAGTAAGATGTCTTTTAATTTTTTTTTTCTTCTTTTTAATATAAGTGTAAACGTTTGAATTTGATGACTGATGTCAGTTGGGCTGGGTGACAGCAGGGATGGGTATCTGAGTATGTTTGTCCTGATCTGGGTGCATAAACTTTCCCCATCAGAAAACTATCCCAAACTTTTATATATANAGCCAGAAAGTCTTTAGATTGTTTAATTTATGGTAAATAGTTACAGCTAGGTTTTTGAAAAGTCGGAAAAAGGTTTAAAAAACAATCATTTGGAAAATTCAAAAAATAGATTTGGAGGCCCAAGTAAGTTAATAAATAAATAAAAAAGATTATGTACATTTGTGGATCAGAAATTATAGGAATATCACTGCACTAAATGGAGAATCACAAATGTGATAAAAACCACAGCCAGTCTTGAAGCAGAATGTTCTGTACACATCCTGGTCGTTCCAGCTCTTATTAAGGTCATAGACTCCTCCTGCATAGGGCATTCCTGCTGGCAGCACACTGCTGAAGAAGCATAGCGTTCTTGACTTAACCTCTATAGCAATTATCTTCATTTTGGCAATCTCGTGGAGGCCGCTCAATCCTGGTCCATCAGGAGGTGACAAACCTCAAAAACTTATTTTGGATCACGTGTAACATGTTGAGGTTTATCTGGCAAGAGATGCTCCAAGCCATACAGAACAACATACAGAAGCATGGGCTTAACAATGCTGCTGTAGAAGATCCTTTAGTTAAAAGCACTCATAATAGTAGAGGAAACAGCAGCCTCATAGCAGTTTTTCCATGGTCTATTCTGTCACATGCTTAGTGAATGTCAGGCTGCCACCCATTGTTAAGCCCCATGCTATTTCCTGCTGCCATGACATTGTCGATTACTGCAGGTCTTCTTTCCTGAAGAGGATGGCTTCAGTTTTGGCAGAGTTGATTTTAAGTTTCCATCTTTGGTAGAAGTGAGCAATTTTTCCAATTTCGGTGCTGAGCCTTCTTGTTACTGTGCGTGGGCTCCATGAAGTTATTAGTAGGGCAAGATCGTCAGCATAGAGAACCATCCTGCATGTCTTGGTCAGAGGTTGAAGTACAGGTCAAACAGAATAGGGCCCAGGATTGATCCTTGTGGGACTCCAATTACAAGCTGAGAGGGCCTTGTGCGATACTCTAAACATTCTGTTTTTTAAGTACGATTATATTGAGTCTTATTTGATAATACGGGAAGTTATAGTCGATTAGCCTGTATATGACTCCCTCATGCCAGAATGTACCAAAAGCCTTTTCGAGGTCTAACAGGGCCATTCCAGTGTGCACCTTTTTGTAGAAGCCATTCGTTATTAGATCCACTCAAGTAAGTCCTCAGTACTAAAAAAAATCTTTATAAATTCTTAAGTCCTCACGCAATAAAAGCGATGTCCAACAATTATTTTATTATTATTGTAATTTTATTTTATTATATTATTTATTTTGTGCCGTGAAAATGTCTGTCCACAGATTGTTGGCCCTTTGAAAGTTTCATACTGGGCATTGGCGGACAATGTTACAGTTCTCCGCCCTTGACCTTGACAGTGAGACCCCTGGCATTTGATGATGTTTTCTGCAATTTTTATTATGTATTAGTGTGGATAGTTCGACTGTCTTATGGTTGGGGGGAATGTGTGGGATGCTGTGAGAAAGGAAAAAATATTTTCTTCTTCCAAATATTAAAATTTCAACAAAAAAAAAAAAAAACCTTAATTTTTCCCTTATATTGATATTATTCATGAATAAAATACTAGAGATTAAATAATGCTATAATAAAACTACTTTTCCATTTTTTTCTAATTAAAAAAATAATATTATAATCATGTTACTGTCATGGAGAATGTTTCAAATCACTGTTTTTTTGTTTGTTTTTTATATGCATTCATTTGCAAAACGTGAGCCTTCTTTATATCATCTTGGTTGTCTGTGTTTTCTAAAAGTTAGTCATACTGAAAACTTTTTGATTACCTTATAGGGCCCGTTAAATCTATGCGCTAGCTTAGCCTGGAAGTTTGCGTCAGATAGTTTGTAAGCTCGAAAGAAAACTTTTTGACCAATTTCAAAGACAACTTTAATGTGTTTACCATCATTTTTTTGTGTGGGCTTTCTGTATGTTGAATAAGGCTATTTTTCACATGTTTGTTTAGCGGTGTACTCACATGACGACCGAGAAATAGCATTGAAGGGGTAAAACCTGTTGATGAATTTTTTGCTGTGTTAAGGGCAAGATTAGTAATAACGATAAGATAAAAATCTGGCATGGCAACGATGACATGTAAATCCGGAATTAATAATTATTATTACCACTTGCTAATTTGTTTTGCCTAAGGGGTGACAAAGTTCAACCTCAAATACTATCATAAAAAATGATTGTGTTCCTTTAAATGTAAATTATAATATGTTTAATTCTATGAGCAGAGCTGTTGAGTGCCATGGAGGAGCACAAGTACAGGGAGTAGAGAAATCATAAAAATCCATATACAGTCCTTAACACTCACTGCTTTGACATTTGCTGTTTTCACTATTCACATATGAAAAAATGATGAAAGTTTTGACATTTGCGGAAGTCTGATTTCTTTATTTGTAGGGGAGGGGGGAAACAGTTTTGTAACAATTTTATTTTTGCATCGAAAATAATTCTTTAAAAAATGGATTGGAGGCTCTAATTGATTCTCAGAAAACTTTTGCCTGCTTTTAACATACTGTTTCTTCTTTCTTCTCAGTTTGTTTTATTCTATAGTTGTGTCGCCAAATGCCTCCTCTTCCAAAACGGAAAAAAAGCGACCTGATCCTTGGTAAAAGAAATTTTTTGGATATGTTATATTTTGTTTGCAGGCCAAAGCTTTCCTTCAAAAAAGCTCAGGGAAATTTTAACCTTGTAACCAACTTATGAGTTATATGTGTGCCAAGCAATGAATTTAGACTCATCTTTAAATCAAAGTTGTAAGTTTAAAAGGGATGTGACCGTTAGTCAATGATTATTTGGAAAACGTGAGATGCGGTCTTGTGTTTGTATTTTTTGATGTGCAAGAAAACAAATAACTTAATTGTTTGCAGTTTCCAAATAATTAATTTCTTTAAGAATTACCACAAGGATTTGAAGCAGCCTCGAATCCCTTTTAAAGATTATTTGGAAATCATGAGATGCGGTCTGGTGTGTCGTAGGTTTCAGAAAAACATTTTCTTTTTCACGCCACCGTTTCGATCTTTATTGAGATCATTTTCAGGGCCTGGGATTTATAAACATTGATTAAATTTAAATTTAATGCAAAAAATATTTTTTATATTCAATCAAAGTCAATTTTACGCAGAAAACATACACTTTGAGTGAGTAGAAATATTTTGATTGAATATAAAAAATATTTTTTGCATTGTGTAAATTCACATTTTTCCACATCCTGGGGGAAACGGGCTTTCTATGTCTGATCTTTATAATTCTAAACATCAGTTCTTGCTTTCTATAATTTGTCAATTATCAAGGTTATTGGGTGCCTATTTTCGCGTCTTTATGCATTCAGTACGTAACGCAGACCCTCAGGGTGTTAGGTACTAATTCACACTCATTTCTGGATCATGGTTGCCCAAATAAAAAATCAAAATGCATCCTGTGTGTGACGTGCTACCAATTTAGAGCTTCTGGTTATCGGCCTAAAATGGCCGATTTACCCTTTTCTGTAACACTAACTCATCATGGATATTTTAAATTTCTATTGTTAGTAAGAAAAGGTTGCGAACCACTAAGAGTTATCTATGTCTTTTTGGTTACAAACCAAAGCATTACTTGGCACTTTTTCATGTTTTATAATCTATTGTGGGTTGCCTACTACAATTCGTTTTGACATGATGTAATTTTGTTAAAGCACCTTTCTAAAAGATAGGATTGTTGAAAACAACAAACTGTGAGAGTAAGATTTATATTTTAATTTTAGAAAGGTGAAAGATACTCACCCCATTAATTTGTAGAAGCTTCTAGCCACTTAAATGAATTTTTAATACAAAATGATTATTAAATATTTGGCCAGTTAACTTATTATATCACTTAGTGTTTCAAGCCCCTTTTGTGCCAAATTTTCTTTTAATGCATCACATTGGATCATCTCTGTATGCGTTTGTTGGCAATGTCAGTGCACATTGTTTCATATCTTTTGACAATGTTGGGCCAAAGAATATGAATTTAAATGCTTTGCACATCATAAACTGCAGGGCCTATTTCATTTGATTTGATTATTTGATGGATATTTTCTAAGAGATTTGAAATAGCTAGGAGCTGGTGAAATAACTTCTGAAGTCGTCCGCAGTTAGCATGTTAATGTGGCCTGTTGGGCTTGTTCTGTTTTTGCATAGAAACATCTACCTGCCTTCTTTTACTACATGCTCTTATGTATAATTTTATATTGATAAAATGCATTATCTAATTTTATAATTAATTTTTCAGACAAGAAACGAAAGTCAGCCGGACCAGATGACATTGACATGTTATCAGATAATAATTGGAGCCCAGAGCAAAAACAGTAAGCATTTTTAAATTAAGAAAAACCACATTTATTTCATATTATTTGCCCATTTTATTTTTTTAAATTTAAAGACACATATATATAAAAATCCATTTTACATCTTAACATTTATAATTATTAGGTTTTTTCCATTTTTGTTTTTCTGAACAATTTTTAAGCATCACATGCTTTCCCCCAAAATAAGAAGCACTAAAGTGTGTTAAAATAATTAAGTCAATATGAATAACTATTTTGGCCTTTTATCTATAATGGTGTATATATGTATATTCCCTTACAACCTGAACACACCTCTCCTGTAAAAGTTCCTTAAGAAAGAAGCTATAGGGTGAATACTGGTCTCCCACAGCCCTACACGAGATGTTTGCTCAATCGACTGCCGCCTTGCTATGGGCCTAATCCCTTCGCTTCAGTGCCACAGTTGCCTCTGCCTCTACCACCCGGAATGCATGGGACTCCAGCGTGAAAAAATAAGACCGTCTAACTTATACGTTTGTAAGGTATTTTACCAAAGTTTACAATTATTTAGAACTATATCATCATCTAGATAGATTAGTAGATAGATTGTCAACAAAAAAAACTTTAAAAATAGTTTATATCAAGTTGTTTTTGTTTTATTGCCCAATTATTTTAAATTATAAATAATTAAAAGCTATTTTTAGAGTTTTAACATGACAATCTTGTTTTGTTATATGCAAAGTATTAGTGGTGTTTTGTCCAATCTTTGCAAAATATGTATTTACATCCTGCTATCATTCTGGACTTTGTTTATCATGTGAAGAGTGGCATTGACTTGAAAAATGAATTTATCTATCCTTAGTTTATTATATGGCTCAGTAATAGTACATAAAACATTTAATAATTAGCTATTATGTCCCACTAAAATGAAACAAGGCTAAAATGTGTCAAAATCATAAACATAGTTGACCAAATACCATCACATAATTTCATCCTTTGCTATTTAAATTGGAAAAATTATTATTTATTTATTAATTCTGAATGGAATCAAGCCAGCCTAGGTGGGATGCAATGAAAACGTACAAGGAGATAAATAGAAATGCTTCAAAACAATGCTCAGCATAAATGTGCTGTTGTCAATCACATATCTATGGAGGAAGTTGGTTATAATTAAAAATAAATGTATTTTTTTAATTTATTATTTATTATATTAATTAAAATATATGTTGGTTTAACAAATATAATAAAAATAATAAGTTAAAAAATAAATTATAAAAATCAAACTTGTTGAAGAAAAAAAGTTATTGATTTAAGAATAAGAAATTAATATAATAATAATTGGTTTTTGTCAGTCATTTTGGTCAGCCTATCCTCACTGGGTTGCTCTGTTGACAATTCTTGTTGTTTCTAAATTTTCAATGTTGAGCCTCTGAAAATGCCGAAATGCATCTGACAGATCAACCCTACAAGGGAGGATATGCAGGTAAACCACACAGAAAAATCTTGCAGTACAATTAGTAAAAATCAAGAAGGTAAATAGTAATGTTGCATTAAATACATGCCAAAATGAGCATGTGTGAACCTGGGTCCCTGTCAAAGTATGACTGTAGTCGATATTGCCAATATATTATATATATTCATGTCGTGAAAATAGGGCAGTATTTAAATTTTATATGCGACTGTTTTTGGGATCAGGAATGTGATCCAGCAGTCATCAAGTTTAATAATAATTATTTGTCAATAATTGAACTCAATTGTTACATGTCACGTCTGTGGAAATGGAAAAAGTAAAATAATACTTTAAACAAATTTTTATTATATTACTTCATCAATAGGTCAAAAAAGTACAAAATAATTTTGTGATCTAAGTTTAATTTTACAATTAAACTATAAAATAGAAGTGAATTTTTTATAAAATTAAAATTAATCTATCGATTATTAATTAGTAAAAGTACAAATTAGTGCCACACAAGGAGAAGGAAAAGAGTAGGAACTCACTCTCCCTACGGGGTTTAGAAAGACACTTAAAAAAAATTACCCAATTCAAAACTGCAGCCCTTTCATAATTCCTGGTTTTAGCCATACTGCATCGAAGTCTACTCTCGTTCTGTTGAATCTTTAGATAGAATTTAATTTAATAAACAATAAAACCTTAGCTAAAACAATGGTATAAAGAAATATTTATTGATAGGTTATAAGTCAAAAGAAAAAAAGAGAAAAAACTTTAAAAGGAAGCAACATCTGACTTGGCCACCTTACCACAAATGGATCGTTAGATTTTCTTTGCTTGCCTTACGTTTGTACCTTCTGCCTGATGATGAATATTTAATACTCAGATAGCTACCTAAAATTTCCGTGAGTAGAACTACCTTTTCCAAAACGTGAATGTTGTTTTTATAACTTTTATTTATATTTTTCAAATTTGTTATTTATTATATGGTATATAGTATATTTATTAAACGGGAACGTTATACATATGTAGGCGCTAGCTAATTCAACTGAACTAGGTAGTGTCTATTGATAAATAAATAAATGTAATGTATATGTCAGAGAACAGTTTTCTTTTTAAAAAGTTTTTCTTCATAAAAAATGGTCTTGTTTTCTTTCGACATGGCTATTCGACACAGTGGGGGGGGGGATCTGAACTCGGAGCCACCATTAATCTGCAAAATAAGTAACAAGAGTATCAACTTCAAAATATTCACAGGCACACATAAGTTAAACTTACAATAATCATGAAAAAATGGTAAGAAAATTGAAAATTAGGTAATGAAATGGAATTCCAGTCAGCATTGCTCAGGTACTTAATAATCAATCTCGCAATAAAATATCACATTGTGTACAACCTCCCACTCTTACCATCAATCATCATCATCCCAAAGCTCATAAAATAAAAACCTCAGATTTTGTTGCTGGAAATAAACACCATTCAAATGACAAATGCATCATATTGGGCAAGAACGGTACACTGCATCACATATACCAAAACTCCATGAACTAATTCAACAAGTGGTCGCATTGTATTGACCAAGTCCCCGTGGAAATGAAATACCTAGTGAAAGTATTTTGTTGATAAAAATTTAAGTTTTGAGTCATTTCAACCATTCAACTTTCTGATGGTAACAAAACCAGAACCAAGTGTTTTTGTGTACAGGGTGAAACCTCTTATTTGGTGGGCGCCTGAATTCGATTTTTCTGTTTTACAAGTAATAACAAAATTTTTAACAAATTGTCAAACCAATGTTGGTGCAGAATTATTAGTTTACATACAGGGGTTTGTGCTTCCCAAACTTTTGCTGTTTCTAGCACCCTTAATATATCATAATTTTTCGGTGGCGTCCCTAGTCAACGGTCGATCTCAGCATGAACTGTTTGATAGTAGTAATTCATTTTCAATTCAGAAAATTGATATATTTAAACCTCTTATTTTCTCTGAAATTTTTTAATTAAATAAAACGACTTTCATGTGATATTGAAAAACTTCAAACCCTTTCAAAAAGCAAGTACACACTTACAGCAAAAAAATATAAAAGCAAATATCTTTATCAGAAATCTTTCTTTGGCAATACTATATATTACACTATTGCAGTTGTCTTGTTAACATCTGTATTGAGATTGGATGTCCATCAAGAACTTAATTTTTAGAGTTTTCTAAAGGGAGGTTTAGTTTTTAGATTTTTTAATAAATATAAAAATAACAATGTTTTTTGGGGGTTTGGGCAGTTTGTGAATCATTTCCCTACTGAAATAATGACTCATGCACATTGTTCATAATGAACCAAGAATGTGGTTCCATGGGTTGCTTGTTTCATTGAATTTTACAACTTACTAATCCAGAATAAAGCCTGTAGATATTTTGGATTTCCTCATCAATTCCATCTGAACTTGATTTACGTCTTAATGGGTAATGGGAATTTTATTAGGTGGACTATTTCTAGTCCGTAATTTTCATTGGTGGTCAGAATTTTCTCTGAGATGTAAAAAAATTAATCTGTTACATTTGAATCGCAAGGAATTAACAAAGAACGATCAAGTTATTACTGTATATAAATAGAACTGTAAATAATTGTGAAACTGCTTTACTATATAGACTACTGCGAGTTGTAATAATTAATACTGGTACGTTGTTCTTTTACTAAAATGACTACATGTGTCATCACTTACAACAATAACTACAGTTCCTCCAAAAACTAGAAATTTGGAGTGAGTATCTTGAATTTCAAAACTAGAATTATATTTTTCAAAATATGAGCCATTTTCATTTCAGAACCATTTGTACCATTTAACTGGATTTGCACAGATTGAGACAATATTTAAATTTTAAATGGTTTTTCCAATTTAAGAATGTTCAGATCCAGTAATTAACATAAAAAAACTGGATGAGAGTAGGAATAAAATGGCCAGGATTTACATAAAACAGATTTCTAACTTTACGTTCATTAAATTAAACATTTGACAAGATATTTACAAATTTTCAGTTGTGGAGAATTAAATTTTAAAAACGTGCCCTCTTTAATTAAATTTAAATTTTAAATTATTAGAGTTTTATCATCCAACCGTACCTCAAAAATTAAAGCTAACTTATTTTCTCTCTTTTTCATTTATTGACATATACAACAGTTTAATTATCTTCACGTGTAGCAGCATTGTTTTTTAATTTTTGATGGCAGTAGCTACACAGGCATTACAATTTTGGTGGTACGTTAATATAATTCATTGGTAATGTCAATTTAACTACAGACGATTCATATGTCAGATGAAGCCCAGGATATAAGTATATAAATCATTATTTTGTCCTCATTACAAAAGCTCTGTAAGGTTTATGAGTTTTTAACATTTGAATTGTTACTTTGTTTAGTTATAAAAATAACTATTAACGACTACAATTTCAGTTTGCTCTCTTCCTTTTGAAATAAGCGACATAAAATGTACGCATGAATTATGCGAGTAAAATTTATTTTCTGATGCAATTGTCTCACAAGTTGATTGGCACATTGAATTTATATATACATATTTAGATATAAAATAAACCTCCAGCACCAATTTTTGCATGAGGATCTCTACAGCCAATATATTAAGGATGGAAAAAAAAAATTCTATCAATGTAGAAACATTTTACAGGATGTCATGTTGATGTTTTAAACTTTTGAATTATTGTTTCAGAATTGTCAAGTTGTGAAACCTACGACTCTTCCTCCCCCGCCTCCACTTACACCTATTGTGAACATACCACGAGCCCAACCATCCAAGCCACCTTCTCCTGTGAAAAGGGATGTTAAAATTATATCCGTGTCTCGTCCACAACCTATTGTCGGTGCTTTGACCACCTGGCTTCCGTCTTCTTCCAGCATTCAGGTTTCTCAAAGCTCCCCAACGCCCAAAACGTCTACAACACTCACGCTAGCAACGACTACCACGACGACCCCCAGTGCAACAACAACATCTAATGTGCAGTCTTCGGAAATAGTCTCCCCACAGGGCCTGATCACTATTAATGGCAGCCCGTATGTCCTAATACAGAAACGTAATGTCGTCAATGTGAGTGATCAGACAAATTCTAATGTACCTTCTACAACACCCGGGAGCTCTGCTGAACAACCTGTTACAAATCTTATACCGACCGCCCCCGGAGCCTTTGTTGTGACCTCCCAGCCCCAAATAGGAAAACCACCCCTAATATTGGTTCCTTATCAAATCCCACCACCTGATCCTTCAAGTGAAGCAGTTCCTCAATTACAGATACCCGTTGTGAACAGCTCAATCCAGGCAATAACACCAGTTCCAGTCCAGCCCATCGGATCTTCCCAGTGAGTCTATTTTAAGGGATACTTTCTCTTAATTATTACTTTAATTTAATATTTTTAAAATACCTCTGGCCTTAGGGGGATGAAAAATGATGCTGTTTCCACACCGTTTTTTAAAATCCTTACGTTTCTTTTTATCCAAATTTCTGTATTGACGCAGTTGTAATTATCTGTTTTGCAATTCTCTAAACAATGCTCTTGGCTTCTTAAATACAACAATTACACATTTCTATGTATTACTACAAATTAAAGTATACTGTCTGAGAAGTACGTGGCCAATTTGTCTATGTTCTCTTCTAAATTCTTCTCTTCCAAAATGATGTAATATTCATCATATGACAGTAGAACCCTGTTGATTTGATTGGAGGTGTGATTATTTAATACTTGAACAAATCTTAAAATGCATTTTAAATTGATATTGCAAGAAAAGGTTTTTTTTAAAATAGGTACTTGAATTACTTTAAAATTAAATTGATATTGTGGTTTTGTTTTAGTTTAAATAAATCAAATTGTATAAATAGTACTATTATAAATTCAGTTGAAAATTTACAAATATTCAACTATTTAGGATAGCCAAGGGAAAATATTTTTAAATGTTTACATTTCAATGGTATGATTCATGCAATATTTCAAGGTTATGATCAGTATGATTCATGGCAATCTAACCATTCTCAGTTGTACAGCAACTTACAGATTTCAAAAAACAAAATCACATTTGTGTACAAATTGGAAATAAATGCTCAGGATAAAATGAGGTTTAAAACATGTCCGCCTCCCAATTAATTCACTAGATCACTTTATCATAATGAGTTTTTATTTTATTATTTAATACAGTGGTGGATGTGTGTATGTTAGGTTTTATGGATTGAAATACATTGAACAGGTAGTGATAATTAAGAAATATTGTTTTATCATTAGGAAAGTAAATGATAATTGCTTTGTAATATTACTTTATGAATTCATTTGTTTGTTCAAAATCAGATTCAGCATTTTATGTATTGGTATGCTTGGATTTTATGTTGCATGCAACTAATCTTTGACATTATTACTATGGTGGGAGGTGGTTCAGCCAAATTGGGATTTTTCTGTAATAACCTCCCTCTCAACTTTGTAATAATTTGATTTGATGAATGAACTGCCAAGTTTTTGTTATAATTAATGGATGATTTTGTTTTCAGATAACTTAAGCAGACCCCCCTCATGCACTTCCTGTGAACTATCCTTTACATTCTTATCTCCTATCCTGTTTTATTCCTTTATGCTTAGCACCAAAAGTTCAAGGCCATTCATTCTGTTCATCCTCCCAAAATTATAAAAAAATTAAATTTTGATGCTTAAAACATTTTTTAAATACTTTCATTTTTTGTTTTAAATAGTAAGAATTTTTACTTGGCCTGTTTCATTCAATACATCTTCATTCACTTTAGGTCTAATGGAGTTAAAAGGTTAAATAGTTCTCCTGCAGAAGGATCTTCACCTCCACCAGAGAAAAGGTTAAAATCTAAAGACTTTGCACAGGAAAATGTGTCGACATATTTGAAGGAAAACTTCATGATGAATTTGAATGCTGGTTTCACCGCACTTCTACATGCGTTCCAATACTTGAAAGTCCACGAGCTTCTGAGAGCGATCTGTGTTTCACAGATGTGGAGGCATATTGCCTCCCACAGATCACTTGTTAGTAAACAGTCAATTTAAAAAAGATATATTTTCGGCATTAAATGATTTTTATTTATTTATTTTATTTTTTCAGTGGGAAACAGTTAGAATGAAAAATTCTAGGGTGAGGGACTGGCAGGGCTTTGGTAGAGCGCTTAGAATGCATAATACAAAAGCCCTTGACCTGCGGAAGATGCTTCTCCCTGAATCACCCGACCAGACCAATAAAATGTGGGTCGAGTTGAGCGAAGCTGTTGCAGACCTTCCTCATCTGAGGAAAATTGATTTTGGAAGGTGTACAGCACAGGCAATTGAAACTGTTGCCAGCACTTGCCCACAACTTGAATCCATCGTTTCCCTCTCTATAAGGTACAAAATAATAACTGTTGTGGAATAACATTTTTTAAATAAAATTGTTTATTTTTACAGGGGGAATGAATTGGATTTGAAAAATATAGGCAATTGTAGGAACCTCGTTGAACTGAAACTAAAAAGTGTTACTGGAATCGACGTTAAAAACCTCTTGGTACTGAAAGAATTGAAATCGCTTAAAGTTTTGGTAATTTTTCTTTTTTATTTAAAAATAATTTTGGTGTAAATTAACATCAACTAATAGAGCTTGTTTTAATTTTCAGGGACTGACTACTGTAAGGAATATGGAAGGAATCGAGGATATTCTGAGTGAGAGTATTGAAAACCTCGAGTTAGGAGAATGTATCAAATTAAATGAGACATTCGCCAAGGAAACGCTGCCGAAGTTGGTCAATTTAAAAAGGCTCAGGCTTGAGAAAGGGCAGATGAGCTGTCCAACGATTCCAATCATCAATTCAATATCCACCCTGCCGAACTTGACCCAGCTGGAGTTGATCAATTTTGACATTAAACCAGGTTTTGAGAAAGCACTGGCAAAATGCACAAACATCAAGATTCTGCTCATTATCCCTACATATGTAACGCAGGTTAGTTTTAAGAACTGGGCTCTGTTGATTTTTTTACAATTTTATGCATTTTTATACGTAACTTATCTTAAGCTGGGTTTCCATGCCAAAACAAGGTGAGCCATCAGTTTACTCAAGACAAGCATGTTTGTCTACTAAACCCACTACCGTCAGTATTTGCAGTCATGGCAATACTTTTCGTCTTTTGTCTCATTTTGTTGCTTATTTTCTTCCATGCATCACATCTCTTTTTCTTGTTATGATGAGTTTTTATCTTTAGAATCCAACCAAAAATCGGTAGCTTTGATACATTTGGATAAATGGAATACAGCCTTCGTTCATTCTCATACTTGAGACAAATGCATTTACACGGAGAGAAACAAACAATGCCAAAAGTTTCACAGTATCGGCTAGGTATCCACAACACGAGACAAGTTTTGTGAAATATTTGCATGAGTGATTTTCACACAATGGAAACCCAGCTCTATGTGATAAACTAGCTTTTTTTATTATTTTGGTCAAAATAATTAATGACTTTTTAAATAATATTTAACTGATTTAATTAATAAAAAATTTAAGTTATCACAGGTGTGACGCATACATGTCTGCCATTTAATAATAATTCCTTGCCAGTTCAAAACTGTCTTGACTTGTACAGAAACAAAAAAGAATGATACTTGAAATTTTTCGCTGGTAAAGGAGAGCAATTAGTCAATACAAATTACGCTTTTACATTGATATATAATAATTATAATAAATACTTTANTGATACGCCGCTGCTCTACCACTTGAGCTATCGTGACCTCAAGTGGTAGAGCAGCGGCGTATCTAACCAAAGATCGTGGGTTCGAATCCCGCTTGTGCCATTAAATTTTTTTTCATCTCAACTAAAAAAAAACAATTAATTGTAATGTTGGTCAAGCGGACCACGAAATTAGTGAATTATAATAAATACTTTTAACTATTATCTTTTATACAAAACATTTTAGTTTATGTTGAATTTTATAAGAGTGAAGACCTGCAAAATTAAATATTTCCAAACGAGATTTTCATCATCAATACAGTTTGGGGGGGGATAGAAGCATTAGCGAATGCATGATGCAGCAATGTTTTCGTAGATTCCGTATGGTAGATTTTGATCTCGAACACAGGGAAGGTCGTGGTAGTCCTTTCGTTGTGGATGACATTCAATTAAAACGTTGAAAATTCACGTAAGACAACATGGGCAAAAGTTTTTATCACTCAACCATTGTTCGCCATCTGGAGCAACTTGGTAAAGTAAAGAAGCTTGACAAGTGGGTACTGCACGAACTAACTGAAGCCCCAAGAAATCAACACTTTGAAATTTGCAACATCTCTTCTGTTGCACCACCAAAATGATCCATCCATCTCTCGATCAAACCATCATGTGTAATGAGAAATGGGTTCTGTACGATAACAGGAGGCATTTTGGTTTGACGCCAAAACTGGTCGTGTACTGCTGGGGTTGTTCATTATAATTTCCTGAATTATGGTGAAACTATCACAACAGAAAAATATTGTCAAGAACCTGAAAATGAAATGAAAGAAAATGCATAGGAAACTGTTACCTCTTTATAAGGGATCGATTCTTCTTCACCATAATGCCAGGCCACATATCACAATGCCAACAACAAAAAAACGAAGCTCTAAAAAAACGACAATCTATTGATGCAACAGTCTTGTACCCGGTACTGGAGCAAAGGGACAAGCAATACAATACATATAGAATGGTTTTACACGGTTGTAATCATGACCTCTTCAAAGGAGGATGTCATTATTGCTTACCGCTACTTAATCAACGGAAATCAATAGTGGAAAATATTGGGTTAACCAATATAATATTAACAATATTTTCTGCTTCAGCTTTTTCCCCAATTCCTTCCACGCTATACTTGCTAAATAAGTTCTTGAATAACTTGTACAAACAATTGTTCCATAAACATGGGTTCTGTTCAACTGTTTTAATAAAAGAAATAGCAGCAGAGACATCCTCCATCATGATTCATTGATGAGTCATGTCATTCTGTCTCCTGGAGTGATTGACAGGTTGTGTCGCTCGCCCCAACCAATACGACGCCGATAATTATCAAATTGCTTATTGCATCACTTATGTGTTGTCGTATCGTGTGTTGCATTGCTCCAGTGGGCCTCAGGTCACAAGGAGGATGTTTTTCATTTTTTGGCTCAATGTTCTATCTTTAGGGAAATTCGCCTGTTACATCTTGGTTTTCACATGTGTTTAGCTTAGAGAGTTTTTTTAAGTGGCACCAATATAAAAAAAGTTTCTTTTGCTCGCAGTGAATGGAGCTACAGGTACGACTTTTTATAAAATTTAAGTTGTTTCTAGTAGAAGTTCTGAATTTTTATTATTTTGTTGCATTTACAAAAAGGTTTTCCCCTTCTTTCTTTGTCCGTTAGTTTTATTTTGGTTTTGTTTAAAATTCTTTCTTTATTGTGTTTTCCCAAAGTTTTGCACAGTTTTAAGTTCTTTGTTGTATACCTATTTCTTTTCCCCCAACTTATTATTTACTAATATAGTTTATAATTTTTTTAAGCCTTCTTCAGAAAATTGTTTTCAACCATGCTGTTTCAATGTGTGAAATATGTATTTCCAACTAATATATGTAACAATTTTCTAACTGAATATTATATAAAGTTTTTATCTATCTACCTGAAAAATGTAATATTTAATAGTTGTTAATAAAATATTGTCTAAAATACGTATCTTTTTAAATTTCAGTCTGCGACTACAAATCATGTTGTTATGGGTGGAGTGAGCAAGCTGAACCAAACACTTGTCTACTTTATATGGGGGCTGACATTGGAGCTGCTCCGGGTGACTGATTTGTTTATCGACCAGGTTGAAGGCCAAAAAGGCAAAACTCCAATCCTCGGTGTCAAGAAGGCCGGAACTGGTGACAGCATCCCGATACTGAAACCAGTTTGCGAGGAAGGAGGAGACGTCAAGGAGGGACAGGGTGCGTCCCAGGTCGACATACTAGGCTTGCCAAAACTCCAGAGGGTTTTATCCACACTTCTGCCTACAACAAAAATCAAGATCCTCAAGGTGCCCTTTAGCGCCACATGGCGCCAGACGGTCACAGACAGCCCCTCTCAGTGAAGTGACTATGAATTTTCCACATATTGGGAAATCATTTTATGACTCAATCTCTGGATCGTTGTTTTCATTTTAGAGTTATTTCGTTTTAATAATCAAATATCACACTGGTGAAACTTTTTATTTTTGCTGTATTAAGGTTTAATTTCTTTTTCTGTTAGCTCTGTATGATTTATTCCCATTTTTTTTTTTACGGGCTTTATGTTTTACAACATGAAGTTTAAGATGGCTATGATTATATGTATATATATGTCTCGTAAACATCAAACCTGTAAGTTTGGTTTGTTCATTTATTTTTTTCTTTTGTAAAGGTTACAATTTGGAAGTGCACACTGTTAAATACACATAATAAATTTTAATAAACGAATAAAAATATTTTCCAAACTGTATATTTGAGGCTATACAATGTGAAAATTTATACATAACCGTAGTTAATAAAGATATTTAAAAAAAATCAATAGATTTTTTTAATATTCAGTAATAATTATTCATATTAGAGGTAGTAAGTTTATGCTGAATTTGATATGTGTAAATAAAAGTTATAAATATAATTTTTATTTTTAATTAACATAGATTTTGCAATGAGGCTGCTTACCTGTTCTTATAAAAAGTACCTTACAATAATGTTGGTTGTTAAGATGCTTCATTTTATAAATACGGTAAGATAAGGTTGAGATGAGGAACATTGTAATTTTGGATTAGCAATTACTCCATATATTTTTTTTATTATTTTATTTTTTTCGTTTTGTATGTAAAATTAGATTCAAATATGTTTCTTTTTATTCATGTTTTATGTAAAGTTTTTGTAAATAAATTAGTTTAATAAATATATAGATTTAAACAAAAATCTAGACAAAAAGATCTTAAGATGTTTCATTTCCTTTGTTGTTTTGTTTAATTTAATTATGTAAGGATCTGTCTTCCAATGGGATATTTAGAACAGAAGATCATCGGTGCATTCTCTTGTAAAATTTCTTAATTTTTGTTTTTGCTTTTAAACAAGCCCAATTGGCCCCCTTGAATTGATAAATTATGGTTTCTATCTTATTATTGATATTTACAATAAATAAATAAAATATGATAAATACTGCCACATTTACTTTATCCTCCAAGATCACTCCTGGTCAACTTTGTTAAACCCAAAATGATAGCAATTAAAGATTTTAAATATATGGAAAAGTCTATTTTTGCAAATTGTATCATTACAATTAATGACGTTTGTCTACAAAATGGTTATTTCCATCTTTATCGTTCTTGCCCATGGGGGTTTATCACTAAAAAAAAATTGATAACATATTTTTCTAAGAAAAGTGAGAAGAAATAAAAAATAATACAAAAGTACACATAAATCCTTTAATTTATTTGACATAAACTATAGATGTAAATTGATAAAATATAGTGATTTTTTAAAAATTATTACTGTAGGAAATAGTGATGTAGTTATAAAATAATTTTCAAAATAGAAAATACTGTTTTGTGATCTTTTCTCATGTATTTTGTACATATCTTTAAGATTAAAATAGTTGTCTGTCTGAACTATTTGAAACTTGTTTTTCACCTTCCTATTTATTCACTGATTCAAATTTAATGCACTACTCAATTTATTTCGATATCTTTGGTAACTATGAACAGGTAATTATGAACTATTGTGGTCAAAATAATAAATAATGCTTTGTTAACTTTAATTTTGTACTAATTAATCCTATTTAAAAAAGTAGCATTCTGCTACACCTAAAGATCGCTTTGAGTTAATCTTTTGCCTTCATTGATTTCATTTGTTATTATTATCCTTAAAACTTTTTTTCAATAGGTCCAGTCAGGCATTTGAGTGAGTATGATAGTGTCAGGGGTAGGGTCATAGAGGAAGAGTACAGCCAGTGTCAAGTAAATTATTCTACGGAAGGATTCTTTGGCGCTTCAGAGAAACGGCTTCACACCAGTAAACCTAGGACTTAGATCCTCGAACGAGATAGATGATAGATTCATTCATCATCAGGCTTTTCAAAACTGCGGTATTATGGGAAATGAGATAAGAAATCTGATTGAATACAAGTCCAAAATGTTTCAATTTCTTCCAGGACTGCAAAAAGAAGGCTCGGTGAAAATAACCTCGGTACCTGACGCATAGACTTCTTACCACAGAGCAGAAAATGGCCAGAAATCAATTTCCTACAGGAGCGTGTGAGTATGATAGATTCATGGACATTGGAAGATTGGGCACAAGTTCTCTTTATAGATGAGGCGAGAGTTGGCCTCAGATCTTCAGATGGAGATTAATTTCTTATGGATACGCTCAGTAGAAAGGTACACTATGGTTTCTCAGGTGGCATTCCACAGTGGATCGTTGATATTGGCATTTCCTTAGACCCTCTCTCCAAACTAGTTGTGCGAGGAAGATTTTTTTAAACGTTACTCAATAATTTGGTAATAAACATTTTTTTAAATGTCTTGTTTTTACAACCAAACCTATTTTTGGTATACAAAATATTACGAATAAACCAAAATAAATCTTGAGCGTTAATTTTGTCCATCAGTGTAATAATAATATAATATATAAAATGATATTAATCCATGTATGTATTGAAAAGTCATAATTGACTGTATTAATTATTCAAAATTATACTTTTTATCTAAGGTCTTGGCTAGTGTCACAAGTTGGATTTGAACCCATGACTTTTGGCTATATATAGTATTATTAATTAAAAATTAATATTTTATAATTTCCTATTGGATTAAGATGGCTTCAATAATATCAATTTTTAGTTCATTGCTTCAGTTGAGAGCAACACATTTCAGCATTGATGTTTCACCAGGATTCAAGAAGCTGTAGTAAAGCGCTCAAATGAAGCCCACCCGTCACAATCACCTTTTTTGATGGGTTTGGAAAATGTGGTACTTACTTGGTAACGTTGTGCAAACTTCATAATGATTTTTTTTATGGTGCGTTCAATGCATGGGGAACCCATCTTTCAAGCTTTTTCACCATTCAAATTGCCTTAAGGTAGTCAGCGATGGTCGATTTGCTAACTGAAAGATTATCTGCAAGTTCTTAAGCAGTTGTTCTGGGATTTTCTTCGACCAAAGCTCACAGAACATCATCATATAGGAAGGAAATCTTACCAAGACCATCTTTGTCTTGGCTAATCGACCCACAGAAATTTTTTACACCATCAATGAAAAGTGCTTTCACTGACACTGCCATTGCCCTAGACTTCATTAATTGGCCACTTGGGCACCGTTATGACCGAGTTTAAACTCGTAAAACGAAATTATGCAAAAATCAAGGGTTGACATCTTAGTAAAGACTGAATTATTCCCAAGTAACAAAATGCCAAGGTAAATATTTTTCTTTCAAAGAGGATTAAAAAGTGTTGACATTCGTACAAAAGAATAATACATAAAACATAAATTGTTTGTTATTTAGAAGGGCAATTGAAAGAAAACATGAAAACCTGCATTATTTTCTGGACAACCCCACAAAAATGCTACCCAGTTTAAATATATAATTTCCTAAACAAAATCAAAAAGTTTTCAAGTAAATGAAATAATGTGTGGTGATTAGTGACCATTAATCGATAATTATTTAGAAATCATGAGATGTGGTCTAGTGTGATGTAGGTAACTCTCAACACGACACGCATGAATGGCACAATTACACAGAAGACAAACACTTTGAGCCCTGAAGATGATCTCAATAAAGATCGAAACGTTGGCACGATAAAGAAAATGTTTTTCTGAAACCTACATCACACCAGACCGCATCTCATGATTTCTGAATAATTAATAATAAATGAAATAAGCTTTTGCAGCAGAAAAGGTGCAAAACTATAGCTTCTCTGACCCATCCAGCCCTCCTTTTGATAAATTATTATTTACTGCTAAACCATGTAATCTAATGTCAGAATCAGAACTAAGTTCAAGAGCATCTGAGCAGCGATTTTGCTCTGTACAATTGCTCACAGAATCCAAGTAATGAATACTGTACTTTCACTTTATATATTGTCAAGCACTTTAAATGCATCATCTTAATTAGACTCTAGGTTAAATTTTAAGTACACATTGATTCTTTGGTTTTGCGACTGAGAAAACTCCTTTATAAATTCAGTGTATTAAGAAAGTCCTAAATTTAAAATTGTTAAAATCAGTTTATTATGCTTTGGTTCAGTCTATAATTTGCTATGGTATTGTTACATGGGATGGAAACAGTAATTGTTATTTCAATCCATTAATCATAAATCAAAATTCTCTTTTGAGAACTATTCTTTCTAAACCTTTTAGATTTAATACCAATCAACTAAATGACAATTTTCAGGTTTTAACATTTAAACAATTGTTTTTAAAATGTTCTTGTATGTATGTCTTTAAAAATAAACTTTTTGCTGAATCAAACAATGAGTATCAAACAAGACAAAAAGTAGTGACTAATATTTAAACACTAATTTTTACTTTAATTTTTCATTAAATGTTGTTTTTAGGTTGCTTTATAATCATAAAATTAATTTTAACAAATTTAATTCCTATTATGATTTCAAAAAAGTTATTACTGTAAAAATTTTAAATTTATAATTTGAACTTTCTTTGTGCAATATTTGGCATCATATGGCAATTATGGTAATCTTTAATTTCTATTTTATCTTTATTTATATTTATTGTATTTTATTTTATTTTTGTTTCCCCCCTTCATCATTTTGTTTTTTCCTTCATTTATTTGGTCTTATACACCTTCTCAGTCCTTTTGATTTAATTTTTAGCAATTTTATTCTCTGACATAACTCCTGCCACCTTACAAGCACTACTTCTAGGTGACAAGCGAAAATGTGCAGATTGGTTAATGACTTACTTTTACTTATGGTTTTATTATTTTACCCTTAAATTTTTTTCTCTATTTATGTTTTTTCTTACTGTAGTACTGTACTTTTCACAAAATAAATTTATTATTATTATATTATCTTGTCTAAATGTCTTTTACTTCTATGATGATGACGTGATTGCACTACTCCATAACTACATATTCCAAACTTTTTAAAATATTCAGGGAGTTGATGTAGGCAATTTTTCAGTTGAGTTTCATTTTATATCAAAAATAACTTTGACAAATAAATAGGTTTTTTAAATATTTTATTGTTTTAGTATTTACAATATAAACAATAAATTTAATAGAAAAAAAATTATTTCACAAAATCAGTCTTCAGGTGTATTTATTGGTTTTCTTTGAGAATCAATTCTTTTTGAACCGCCAACAATACTTTCTCAAGGGAATTGATTTCTGCCTTGGTCTGTTCGACCTGTAGAAAAATAGATTGTAGCAAATTATTTAACTTAAAATATCATAAATAGACTAACTTGGAGTCTGGCAGAATGCATCCTTTCGCCCATCGAAGTGGAAACTAGTTCAGCTCCTGTTAAAAAAGAACTTTCCGCTGCTGATTCTGCGACTTTTTCAACGTACTCTATTAATGAATATAGCTCCTGAATAATAAATTAATAATAATAAATTAAAAATATATAATTAATTGGTAATATTTTCAACTCACATAAAGCTCCTTTTTGAAGGTATTCACTTTCGCTCTTGCTGCAATTATCAAATCTTCTAACTCTTTGTCTACATATTTGTTGCGAGGAGATTGGCTTTCTTCGATCAAACTGATAAGCTTGTTGAGAGAAGTTCTAAAATTTATCCAAGACGATAACACAGAATGATTGCGACAATTAATAATACTTATAAAAAAAAATTAAAAAAAGAACAGACAATTACTTGTACTTTTCAGCAGTATCGACTACTGCAACAACGGTCTGTGTGAGGAGTTGCGAAGCAGCATTGACCACATTAGAAGAAGCTTGTCTTAAGAGAAAGCTGTGAGTCAATTCGTGAGGGTCTGTCAACTTTAATGAATCTATGAATTTCAAAATTACTCCTTAAAGTATTTGTTTTATATACTTACTTCCAATTTCTTTGGTTTCTCATTGCTGAAAAATGAAACGGCCAACAGAGGGGATGTTGGAAGTGTTAATTTTTTTAATTTTCCATTTTTAAAAACACGATGAAAATTTCTGAACTAAACATAGAAATTTGAAGCTTAGGTTTTTTGAATAAAAAGTCACAACTCCAAACTTTAAAACACTTGAAATAATTAACTAACTGTAATTATCTCATTATTAAAAGATTTTTTAAAAAGAATTATATAACGGAAGTTTATATAAGTTTCATTATCTGTAAATCAGAAAATAATCTTAGTTATTTTTTAATTAACATAAAAAATAAAAAAACTCATAATTCAATTAATTAATATTTATGGGAGGTATTGGTTGAGATAAAAAAGTTGTTGTTACGAGCGGGATTCGAACCCACGACCTTCGGCTAGATACGCTGCTGCTCTACCACTTGAGCTATCGTGACTTTGATCAGTAAACGTCCCAAACAATGACCACCATTTTGCCGAGATGCTCTAGTTCGTGGTATCTCTCCAACAAAAGCACTACAAGAGTGTCAACGGAAAAAACCAGTCATGGACTGCACCAACTGCGCTGAGGGAATCGGTGCCGACTAGGTAGACAGAGCCACCTTCATCTCAAATCACCCCAAGCACGCCTGAAGTTTAATTCTAAAGTAAAATTCATTGTGAATATGCAGGAATTGAGGGGAAAATAGGCTTGAGTGATTGTGTGCTTGAGTGACATATGAAGGATAAAATTGAAGAAACCCACTTATTGAAACTGAAAACTGACCAGGATAAAGCCAAGTTATTGCGCAACTCAGATGAGTGGCAGCGACAAAAGTGCTTAAATTTCTAATTAAATACTTTCCAAGGTATAGATATAAAGTGGATTGAACTACATTAGATCTGTTTTATCACATTGGATAGGGAAGTTATTCATCAAGGATCAGGAAATGTCGAATTTGGCTGATCTAAGATGTCTGCTAATAACTTTTTTTGTGATCTATGTACACTAATAAATTCTTGAGTAAAATTGGCTTGCTGGTTAACAAATTTGAAGTTGTTATCAATTATCAACCGGTAAATTGTTGGTTTTTAAAGCATAATTAGCATCAATAATTAATTGTTGAATTTATTACATATACGTTTGAAATAAGTAGGCTTACCATTGTTCTAGCTGTTGTTTTCAATTAAACTTAAAAAAAAAGTTATATGTATTAAAATGAAAATCTAGTATTTACTGGCTTATCAGTAACATGATAAGAACCTTCCGTAAACTGATAATCAATTTTTTCTTATCAATTCATAAACAAATAAACCAAATAAAAAAGTAAAGTAGTAAATATCAGCTATTGTTTAAATAAGATCTTGTAAATCTGAGAAAAAGGAGAGTAAAGCGGCCGGTTTGAAAACTGAAAAAGCGTCTATTTTGTTTGGTTTAATTATAATGGCTTAGAAATCGGATTTCTGGTAGGTTAACAGCCGGTTAAAATAACTTTTGACAGCGAGTGACCGTGTCTGCTGTCTGAGAGATCCAGTTCCAAATACACTCGGACCTCGTTGTTGACGGTCCGCCTCGGTTAACAGAGCTTGAAATGGGAAAAAAAGCTCAGGTGAAACAGCAGAAAAGCAAAGAATCGGAAATGAACAAAGGTAAAGAGGCGAACTTGGATTTGTCGAAACAGAAGAGGAACGAGCTAAATCGCCTCATTGACAAACTGCTCAAAGGTAAGGCGATTTATAAGTTTTTTCGACAGTCCAAAATTCAGTTTTAATCATTGCAACCTCATCCAAAGCGTCATGATGTTGGTGTAGCATCATCAGTGCATTCAGAAAATGGCTTTGAAATACCTTTAAGTGTTTACATTTATCTCTGATAAAAATATTCGTTTTTTTAAATAATAGATTACTTATCTATATTGCCTCGCTTTTATTTATTTATTTTTATTTTTGCGCCAAGATGATTGATCATTTAACCCTTTAACAATACTGTCATATTTTTCATAATCATCATTGATGCAAACGAGTTTTTTTAAATTAGTTCATACTAAAAATGTACATGGCTTATTCTTATTATAGTATCAAGCATAATTGTCGGGACTGGAAAAATACGAGACAGCCACGTCGAAATGGAAAAGCTTTTAGAGAAAATAGTTGAGATTGAAAATGGTAATTTAACTATTCATTCCCATATAGGCACACCTCATATTTCAAAATTGTTCAATTTTCAGAAGTCAATGTCGGCTTTCCAAGCCGTAACAGAGCGACGATGAAATCGTTGACAGATTGGATGCTTGAAAATGGTTCTAAAATTGACGGAGTCGAGATATGCGAATTTGAAGGGTACGATTATGGATTGAGGTCGTTGAAGGACATAAACCAGAATGACTTGATGATATCCGTACCGAGGAAGTTGATGATGACGACGGAGTTTGCTCGCAAAAGTGAATTAGGTACTTTCTCATTTGGCACGTTAAATTTGAAAACCTATCTATGAATATACCTATCAATGGTATTTAATGAAAGGGAGTCTAAATTTAGACTAGTGGGACCGTTGCCAGGCATTGTGAGTATTACTTCAAAGGCAGTGTTCTATTCACATCTTTGACCCTATTTTATTTATTTTTTTCAATGACCCTATTCCAGTTCTACTATTTACATTGGTCCGATTAAATGAACAAAACAAAAGAAATACATTAAATTTTAAATTATTGCTATTTATTTCATTTTCTCTTTACAAGATTGAATTATTAGTAAAACAGTACTTTTATTACAGTACAAAGTACAGACATGTCCGGTTTCAAAGCTGTTAGTATTGAAAAGAAACCCCCTTCTCAAACCTTTTTTAAAAAAAAGTTAAACTGATTATAAGTAAATTGGGAATTTTGATTTAGATCCTGGCTTCTTTATCATTGCCAATTTTTTGGTGATAGCCACATTGACCAAGTGGTTAGGGCATCCAACTCATATTTGCTATGCTAGCGGTTCTGAGGTCAAAGCCAAGCGTAAGACATTTTATTTTAATTGCGAATAATGTGAAAAAATATTGTGAAGTGGTTCTGATCCCTTGACCGTGAAACCCAACGGGTAATTGAATGTTAAGCTCTCCTGTAGGACAGGAATTTCATAAGGTAAGGTTTTGAGTTTGACCAAATCCAGTGATAAACTGTATCTAAAAGGCAAATTGAATTTGCATTTTTTTTTAAATTTATATTTAAACTTTAATTTTCAGATTGAAACATTGGTAAAGGGAATCAGAAAACTTTTTACAAATTCTGAATTCTTGTCTTTGTATATTTAAAATTAAATTATTTCATACATCCTTAAACTTATATCACACAAGATTAAACCTTAATTTTCCAAAAACAAATACAACTAAATACTATATTTTTTCTTATAACAAGGTACTTAAATATATTTATGAAAATGGAATTAATATCAATAATTTCTGAACTTTAATCAGTTACAAAAAGTTTATATACCTTCTTAGCTCAAGACATTAATTTTTTTTCTAAATCAAATTATTTTTGACTTGTTTAATTATAATAAAAAGAGTGTTTAAAAAGTATTCATACTTATGGAAGGCAGGCTGTAATGGAAGAATAACAAATTACTTTTATAATTAAGTGCTATTCCATTTTTTTAAAATTATTATTCGACTTGAATAAAAAAAACTTACAATCTTTTGTATTTTCCAGTATAGCAAAAGAAATATTTATTATTATTAAATAATTATAAGCATTAAAATAAAAAAACTCCCTTGTGGTTTCATTTGAAATAAATGAGCAAATCTGAAAAAAAAATTTAATATAACTACAACAGAATATTATTGTTCTTTATTTAGATTTTATTTCTGTTATATTATCAGCACAGCTACAGAAATATCAGAGCTGCACAAACACAAATTAGATTTTTATTTATTTTTTGAAAACAAGTTTCAAGCCTTAAACATTACCTTATGGCCCAGTTAGACATAAAGTTATCCCTAACCATCCCTAAAAAGGATAAATTTATCTGTCTCAGGGGAAGTGATCTGACCAAGGCAATCGTGAAATCTAGTTGGACAATTTGCATCAACCCTGTAAGACAAAATGCAATCTATAGTTTCTGGCCTGATATGTAATCCGGTTGTACAAAATCTCCCAATCTCCTTTGGGCTGAGAATAAGTTTTCTCATGGTTAAAATGAGTGATCAAACATAAATTCAAAAATCAATAAATAATTAAATATTTAAATAATTCAACATTGATATATCTCTAGTACCTGATTTCTCTCATGTTACTAATGTCATGCACCCAACAATTTTGTATTTTTCTGTGAATTTCGCTAATTTATTATTTGAGCAGGAATTTGGCTGAACTTATGCTCAATAAACAATAGGAAAAAACATCTCTCACACATTGCTTTCTGTTTACCTGGAATATTTCATTTCAGTTCTAAATGTTTTACATTAATGATTGATTAAATATTTTTCTGGGTCCACTTTTAAATTTGAAATCAAATTAAAATTCAATATTTGTAATCCTGGACATATAAGTATGGAGGGTAATGAAAAGGTAGATGAGGTAGTTAAGGCTGGAATGTTCCAACCACTGGACCTAACCAACGTGATCTGGTTTTTTGAAACTAAAATGCATTTTAAAAAACACGATTAAAAGACTGTTGAAGAAATCCTATGTTGTTGGCTGGATCTGAAGAGAAGCTTTTACATACCAAGAGAGCGCTAAGAGAATTTGAATACTAGAATAGAGACCATGCCCACCGTAGGCCATTTACTTTTGGGCCAAAGCTCCAATGACTTTTCTCTATCTTGGGCCTAGTCTGGCAAACCAAAACAGTGAGGGTAAGGAGATCAAAAAGATCGGAAACAACCAAGATGCCCACAAACATGTTTTAGTTATTTTACACTTTATTATTTTATTGCTGCTTTATTGTTTTATTGCTGCTGTAATTGGTCTAAACTGTAAACCTGCTATAGATGGATTATAAATATTCATGTGTGTAATATGCTTTGTAAATAATACAAATCAACATATTAATTGATTAGCCAGTTTTGAGAAGTCAGATTTTCAATTACACCGATGAACAAAATAAATGCATCACCCTTAAATTTTAATGTATTTAGGTTTATTCATATTTTGCACACTCAAAATAGGTTTGGTTGAAAATAAAGACAATGTTTATTACTTAATTCGTAAAGTACAAAAAAAATAAAAAAATAAAAAATTATTTTTTAAATTGTAAAAGCTTTTTTCTTCCCTTTAATTAATATCAAGTATTTCTACCTCTAGTACAAAACAGGTCCATTAAACGCCTTTGCATTCCTTGTAAAAGTTTTCTGATAAAATTGAGAGTAATTCTTTCCCATTCACCAAGAACTGCCATCTTCAACTCTTCCATGGTGTTAGGATTTGGGTTTCGCCGTCGTATTCATAGCTTAAGTTGGCTCCAAACGAGTTTGATTGGGTTTGAATCTGGTCTTCGAGCTGGCCACTCAATTCCAGCCTCATTCAGGTAGTCATCATAGTGCTCTATGTGGCCTGGCATCCTGCATTAGCAAGAAACTCTCAGTGATGGGAGGGGGGGCAAATGGCCCTGCATGTTCTTCGATTACGTCTTGTAATACCTCTGTGATCTTCCTTGCACAACAACCAATGTCCAAGGAAATACTACTCCACAACCATGACCCACCGTCGAATGCCACCTGAGGACTATACAGTATGGGGCGTACCTTTCTTCTGAGCATCTCCATATGAAATTCACCCATCTGAAGATTTCTGGCCAATTCTCACCTAATATGTAAAGAGAACTCGTCCCAAATCTTCCAGTGTCCAATTCACGTATTCCTGTTGAATTGAAGCTTGGCCGCTTTCTGAGCTGTGGTAAAAAGTCCACGAACCGAGTGCTGGGCCTTGAGGTTATTTTTAATGAGCCTTCTTCTTGCAGTTCTGAAGGAAATTGAAACCAGGTTTCTTATCTCATTTCCCATAATGCCGCGGTTTTGTAGTCTGATGATGATGGATGAATCTATCGTCTCTCATCTGTAGACTTAGTTTGAACCTGACCTGGCCTTGTAGTGTGAAGCCCTGTTTCTCTGAAGTGCTAAAGAACCCTGTCTATTTACTGTAGAGTGATTTAATCTTCATCTCCTGGAACTGCCTTGACTTACTCTTCCTCTATGACCCTGACACTGTCATACTCACTCAAATGCCTGATTGGAGCCATTGAAAAAGAATAAGAATAATAGAAATGGAAAAAGAAAAGAATAAGAATAATGGAAAAAGATTTAACTGAAAGTGGTGATCTATTGGTGGAGCAGAATCGAAGGGTATAATGCTACTTTTTGTTCAAATGGGATTAATCAGTAAAAAGTAAATAAAGGAAGTAAACAAAGCATTAGTTACTGTTTATTTTGACTATGATAGCTCATAATTACCTGTAACTAATGTGGGAAGATAATTGATTTAATTTTAAACTAAATAGAATGGTGCATTAAATTTGTCCATCATTGTATTTTATATGAGAATTGTTTAAAATCAGTATAACAAGTATTAACAGTTGAAATGTACAATTTTGTTCTGTTTCAGAATATCTCATGCAAAACGATGCCTTGCTTGCTCACATGCCCAGCATGAGCCTGGCGTTGTTTCTCCTGTTAGAGAAATTCCGTGGCAATTCTTTCTGGGAGCCATATCTCAATTCTCTCCCTTCTTCCTACAATACAGTCATGTATTTTACCCTTGATGAACTGGATGCACTTAAAGGATCACCGACTTATGGTAAAAACAGGTTAACAATTCTATTACTTAAGACATTTCAACAAATTTCATCATTTCAGAACCTGCGTTAAAACAGTGTCAAAATATCGCAAGACAGTATGGTTACCTTTACAGTTTATTTTATGTAAGTGATGATATGATATGATTTTTATACAGTTTAATTAATTTTTGTCATCCACTAGAACTCAAATGATGCTGCTAGTGCAATACTTCGAAAAGTTTTTACTTATGAACAATACAGGTAAGTGCTTTTTTTAAATGTTTATTATATTTTGTATTTTATGGGATGTTTATAAGTTTTAAAAGGATTGATTTAATGTACAAAATTATGGAAGCTCATTTTAAATATTTAAATTTGCTTGATATTTTTCTCATATCTAGATTAATTATACGTTCATAGACTAGATTTGTTGGACCAGTTAACAAAACTACAAAGGAAATTAACTATTGTATATAAACAGGTACTGTTTTATTATTAAAAAAAAATCATAACTTACAATATAAATTAAACAACAGAATGGAAATATGATAAATTATACTGACCAAATTCAAATTTATAACTCATAAGTTAAAGAATTTTTAATTGAATCAAATAACATTGGAAAAAAAAAATACAAAGGTACAAAACCATTTTCAATGGAAAAAATATTTACAGAAACCTTGTCCTTAAAACTTTTTGTTCAGCTGGACTTGAGCATTTTAATCATACTGAAAAGTCTTTCGAAGTGTTCTCCAAAGGTAGTAATGCCTGTTTGAAGTTGTGTTCGAGTGGATCCCCTGAGAGAAGACTGGTCCTCTTTGGTGTTTGTTGAGAACTGGACTCAGACTCTGTTGGCTGGTCATGAAGTCCTCATTTTTCAAATGTTCGCGCAGAATATCCTGTTTGGCCCTTATCCTAGCTTTCTTCTGTCGGACCCTGCATGAAATCAACACTGACATGAACCCAAAGATGGCCAGAGCAAGAATCGCTCCACTTATTATTATTGCTGACTTTATGCTGAATGGAATTTGTTTGAATGTGTTTATGCTGTTGTAGCTTTTCACTGTTTCAGTATTGAAGGAATCAGAAATCTTGGTCCCCTGTGCAATGTCATTGTCTTCTAATAAATAAATTTCCTTGATTTCATTACTGTTCTCAGGGATAATATCAGTAATTTTTATTTCTTCGAAGTTGCCATGGATAGAGACCGGCTTCAATCTTGGATTAGGAATAATCCTCCATGTAGGATTCAATTTATCAGGTGTCTCCAATTTTGTTGAAAACTTGGGCATACTTTCGAAAACCCTCGGTTCTCTGTGTTCTGTATGTCCAGTTTCATTTTCATCACTTTTCTCTTTCTTCTGATGCTGAGTATGTTTATGAATTTGGTCCGATAAGAATTTGGGGAATGATCCTAGGATTTCTTCTTCTGGGAATTGGATTTGCTCTGTTTTATTATCCCTCTCAGTTGTTGATGTCAATTCTTCGTTTTTCTCAGGATTGGCCTTTTTCGAATCAAACATATCTGATAAAATGAATTTGCTGGAACCACGTTCTCTATGTTCTAAAAGCTGATCGAGTGTCATATTCCTCAGCTCTAAGATTTTTGATATTCGAGTACTTTCAGTTTTTAGTAAATCGAGTAAACTGTCATTCAAATTGGTGGCATTTAGTGTATCATCAATTTTATCAGATGGATCAAACAGCCTGGCATTAGTGCTTGGGCTTTCAGTTGTATATATAGTTGTTTCTTCAACATATTTGTCTTCGTTAAGCGTTGTTTGTACTATTGTAGTAGTTTCTTGTTTTTTAAACACTTTTATGACATCCTGCTTTTGAACCGATGGTTCAGTTGTGTGCCTAGAACTTTTTTGAGAATAAATGTGCTTTTCTAGATTAACTCTTTCAAATTCAAATTTTGGATAATTTGGCTCTTCTGTACTTGAAGCAATTATTCGATGTTTAATTTTGTCAATTATTGATTTTGGCGAGATACTTTCAGGAAGTTTGGATATTCCTATTGGTATATTTACTTTTGAAACGATTTCATTTCTGCTAGCATTCTTGTTATACAAATTACTCTCTAAGTTTGCTAGTGGATTGATAATGTGTAAATTAAATGTTTCCGCTTCAGTTTTTTGTGGTACAACACGTTTTCTTAAAATGGCTGACGTTTCTGGAAGCCTTCTTGATTTGGAAAATAGAGTTCTCCTGTCGAAAATCTTGTTTCCAAAAACTTTATCATCATTCTGTTCGATCTTGTCTGTGGAAAGTTTTATGTTGTTTTTGACAATGTATTGTCTTGACCTTTGTGGAGATGTGTTCTTAATGGTTATATGTTCATCTTTCTCCTCTTCATAATAATGTTTTAAAACTGCATTTTCACTTACATCTTCGTATGATTTAGCAGTAGTAGGAGTTGTAGTCGTAGTTGTGGTGGTTGATGTCCTACGAGACGTTGAAGTTGTGATAGTAGGAATTGTCGTGATTTCTTTCATATTGTTCTCTCTGTGCAATAATACATTGGTTTCACTCACATATTGTGGTATTTCAGGCAGAGTAGTTGTTTCTGGAAATTCTTCAACTTCAACTGGCTTTAATCTCTTTCTTCCACCTTTCCTTCTTCTCCTTGGGGGCTTTGGAGCTTCTTCTTGTTCTCTTTCATAAATATACTCAGGGTCTGGGAATCTTCTGTGAGGCCTCCTTCGTCTCTTAGGTGTCCTTCTTTTTGGCAGCTCTTCTGGTTCAGGCGTTGTTTCCTCTTCTGACACTTTCCTCAAATTTATTCCATATTGTTCTTCTGGAACATGTTCACTGTCTGAGACCTCTTCGATTGGCAATTCTGTAGGCCTTGGTCTCTTTCTTCTTCGCCTCCTTTTGTTTCCATTTCTTGATCTGATCCTTTTGGTCATTTCTTCATCTTCACTCACCTCTTCATCTTTCCTTTCGACAATTTTGTCAGTGTCACCAGTCCTCCAGCTCTTTAAAGTAGTATTTTAGTTAAATAAACATTTGTTTTATAAGCTATTTTTAGTAAATTACCTCTCCAGCAGTTAACTGTGTGTCATCATAATCTTGTTGAAGTGACAAAGGGATCAAACAAAAGAACAGGAACAGAGTAAAAACTGTCCATAGTCTCATTCTGAAACATAAAACAAAATCAGATTTACTATTGTGGAAAGATTGGGTTGATTATAAATTATTCTGGTAAACATAAATCTACCTGTCATAATCATACATTATTTTAATTTTCAATAATGCTTACGTCAACAAATATATTTTCCTAAACTTGTAATGTTTAACATAAGCAGTATGTCATTCTGGTTCTATTCTCTGAGGAGTGATAGGACTATTAACTGGTCACTGGCTTCTGAGAAAACTACTCAACATGAGCATATATAATGATGATCCTATCGGCAGGTTATGCAACTTAGCAACGGCTCAATGGAGATTTAACCTAACACAGAAAAAACCTAGGGAATGTAATTGTAGCAGCGACAGTCAATGACCGACCTGATACTTCTGAGAAGAAGGATTGAGTCAGTTGCAATGAACTGGGAAGGTACAATAGGCCAGAAAAGGCTGCACTGCCTGGGGAGCACAAACCCCACTTCCTAGTATCCTCATCACCATCACCACCATGTCAGTCTGATCTAACCGTACCCTTATAAACTTAATTTCATATTTTATAATTATTCCAGCAACAACAAAGTAGTATGATTGGAAGTATGGCATAAGATTGGAATAGTATGCCTTCATGTTTGCTCGCCTCCACTACACGGACAGTTCAAACTGAATAGGTCTGTGTGTTGTCTATTAAAACGTCTGTCTGTACTAGTTTCCCCCTTTCCGTTTTCACTTTGAAAAGCCGACTTAAAAGGATCGACTCACATAACATACACAATACCTGGACCCAAGGGAAGAATTGCGCAAGGCTATGAAAAAGAAAGTCATAAAAGGATTGTTTACACTTGTTATTCAATGGATCTTTGTAAAGCCTTGAAAATTTTGAATGAAACGTTGTTTCCAATTTGTCCTTCCGGCGACAAGCTGAAGCCAATATTCATATAATAAACATTACCATAAAGAATAATAGAAATAATAAAGGTCGGGTGAGTATGTCGATTAACGTGTAAATGATGCTCTACTCACAGAATTTTTGTTCACACGATCCAGCTTTTCAAGCATTAAACGGTCATCATCAGTGGAGCAGTTGCAAGCACGTCCTTTAGCATGAATTGAGAGGGAACCGATCCATCACCAACGCGAAATTCCAATAAGAAGTTGGTTTTTAACGCCGGTCAATTTTGGACTTGCGAAAAACAAATTACAACGCATCTAATTATCCTAATAAATACGTAATAAAAATAATTGGAAATTAATCATTAATTTGTATGTAATTATACATGATTAAAACAGGAGGTAAATCAAAATGTATTATATTATATGTGCATTTATGCCTATGTTTAATTTTACATTTTTTCATTTCAAATTTCTTAAACCAACTACTTCCTCCCTTTGTTAAATTTTTTGCAACACTGATATTTTTAAATTTAAAATTTGTTTTGCTTCATTTAGTGGTCCTTAAATTCAGAAAATTTGTTAAATTTAGACAAGCGTTTTTTAAAGGTAGATGCACACACACCAGTAATGTCACAGTGCAGTGACCGGCATTTTGTTCCATGGGCGGGTGTGAAGATTTTCTTGTAAAATGAATGTTCCCACTCGCACGGCGCGCAGTCAACGGATCGTGATCATCGGATTTCTTGTTGACGATATTTTAGTTTTCACAGCCGTACAACATGAATTTAGAACTCATTGAGTTGGTGCGAAATAACCTGTGTTGTTTGATTCAAGGGCAAATTCAACATACATGTACTCAGATTTTAAGAATACTCTCTGGAGGAAAGTAGTTAAAAATGGGTATTTGAGACAGAAGAGATCCAGTATCAAAATTAAATAATCAGTGAATATTTCTCGTACATTTCGCATTCCCTCCCTGTAAATGTAAATTTTGTAGTGTTTGACTTTCACTCCTCGAATCCATTTGGGAAGTAACGTAATTACACGCTCGTATATCGTATTTCTTAATGTATTAAGAAGTTTAAGTTTTAAGTTACACAACAAGAAAAATTTTGTTCCATTGTCCACTAATTCTTTGTAAAGTGTAGCAAATTCCTCTTCTTTTCCTCTCTTGTTCCATGCTTGATGAACCCACTTCCGTTTTCTCCCTTGAGGTGCCTCTTCTTCATTCGAAATCGGTTCATTAATAAAAAGTTCATCGTCTCATTGTCATTTTGGCCATTCCATTGCAAAGCACGGATGAAATACTGACCAGGGTCCGTCACGACACTGTCACGTCACTGATGTATGTAAATCGACCTTAGCTCGCGTTTTAGTATCTCTGCTGCTCTATATGTTTAATATCGCAAACAGTACAATTAAGTTTGTTAACCCCATTTTTTGACAAGTCAACCTTATCTTTAGGTTTTGAGAGAATGTTTCTAAGTGAACTTGCACCTCTAAAAGCTACTTTACATCCTACTTGTTTAAGAATTTTACCTATTTTGACTGATAGTACACCAATGTATGGCGAGCAACGAAAATCTAAGATTCATTTTTGGTGTGGTTGCTAAGTGTGATTGTTGCTTCTTTTTATTAGCACCTACGGATAAATATTTCTAGATAGCTACTGTTTTTCGTTAAGGTTTTAAGTGTTGCTAATTCTTTTTTATAATTAGCAGGTGCTAATTGGAGTTTCGATATACTTTCTTTGATCCAAATGAATCCAGGAGCTTTTTGAGAGAGAAGTATCTGCTGGTAAGTGTCTGTGGGTTTTAAGTTTAAACAACCATCTTTGTTTATTTCCAATGTAAAATTTATTCTAGGGTGTAAAGAATTAATAAATTGGAGTAATTCTTTTAGATTTTCTAGTGTTCCCGACCATTTACATAACATATCGTCTACATAGCGTTTCCAAAAAAGGACAGATTTAATTAATTTATTTGATTTGAAAAGAATTGTTTCAAAGGCATCCATGAATATTATCGGCACAAAGTAGGTAGTGGATACCCCATTGGTTCGTTTCGTAAAATTTATTATTAAATTTTCAATTATTAGACAGTAGGCATATATTTAAAAGGTCTGTCGTATCATTTTTTACAAATTCGTTGATAGAGTTCTCCTTAGAGTTTTGTTTTATTAGTTTAGTACATTATTTATCAGGGATATTTGTAAATAAATTAGTAATAGCAAATGACACTAAAACATAGTTGTTAGGTATATTTGTGTTCTTCAACTGTAACAACTCTAAAGAATTGTTAACACCGAATGTAGGTTTGAAATTGGTGTGAGTTTTAATTATTTTATGTATTGTAATCGTGAGTTTGTGGCATTGAGAATTTTAAAAGGACACTATTGGTCTTATAGGTTTGTTTTTCTTTGTGGATTTTAACCGTACCGTATAACAATGCTGGTTTTGGGTTCATTGATATAAGTTTTTTAACCGCATATTGGTCATTGGAGAATAGAAAGTCAGTATTTTTTATAGCTGTTCGAACTCTAGTATTGATTTTTAATGTGGGGTCTTCATTTATTTATTTTCGATGGTTATTGTTTAGGAATTCTTCAATTATTAATTTAAAAAAATTAAATCTCTTTTTTTTGGAAACGCTATATGATATTTTATGCATATGGTTCTGAACACCAGAAGATTTAAAAGAATTTCTTCAACTAATTAATTCTTTACACCCTAGCATAAATTTTAAATTGGAAATAAATAAAGATGGTTGTTTAAACTTTTTATGGCTTACTTAAACTGTCCGTAATAAATATCCTAATTGTAATAGACGTACTGTATAGAAAACCCACAACTACAGACACTGACACTAGCACCCATGGACCCAAATAGCTACTGGATTCATTTGGCTCATAGACCGTATGTTAAAACACCCAATAACAACCTGCTAATTATAAAAAAAAGAATGCAAACTATTAAAAAGTTAGCTAAAAGCAATGGATATTAAGAAATATTCATCGATAAGTTGTTAGCAAAAAGAATAAAAAAAGTACAGAAGAAGCAACAATCGGACTCAACCAGCAAACAAAAATGAATCTTTTATGTTTTCGGTGCACGCCATACATAGGTGAACTATCAGACATGTTTACTTCTCAAATGGATTCGAGGAGTCAAAATCGAACACTACAAAATTTATATTTACATGGAGGAAATGCAAAATGTACGCGCGTGTACGAAAAATATTCACTGATTATTTCATTCTGATACTGGATCTCTCCTGTCGCAAATGCCCATTTTTAATTACTTTCCTCCAGAGAGTTTTCTTTAAATCTGAGTCCATGTATGTTGAATTTGCCTGAGCAAACAACACAGGATATTTCGCACCAACTCAATGAGTTCTTCATTCATTTTGTACGGCCGTGAAAACTGTAAAATATCGTCAACAAGAAATCCGATGATCATGGACGCTCGCCGTGTGAGTGGGAACAAAACCATTCATTTTACAAGAAAATCTTAACACCCTCCCGTGGAACAAAATGCCGGTCTCGGCACTGTGACGTTATTGGTGTGGCAAAGAACACTTGCCTAAATCTAACAAATCGGTTTTCTGAATTTAAGAACCATCTAAATGAAACAAACAAATTTTAAATTTAAATATAACAGCTTACAAAAATTTAACAAAGAGAAGGAACTAGACTGGTTTGAAAAATTTGAAATTAAAAAAGTAAACTTAAACATGGAGATAAATGCATAGATAATATAATAGATTTTAATTTACCTCCTATTTTAAACATGTACTTAAATAATATTTGATTTACAAATAATCACTAATTAAAATTATTTTCTTACAGTATTTATTAGGATAATACAGGGTGAATTGCTACTCGTGCTACAAACTTCTCCAGTAGATTCTTCACCCTAAAATGAACAAAAAAGTTCATATTGTCCATGGTCCG